ATGAACTTCAATACAAGATTCAGCAAAAAAGCATAATACAATTTTGTGACGCACATAGTTTGATTTATTTTATTACGCCAATCAACTCTACGATTGGTAGCAAGCGTGTAAACGTTGTTTTTGGACGAGTTTGTTCATAAACACAACTTCTATTGACATTTTCTTAAGACATTGTCTTCCTTTTGATTGTTTTAACAACTGATTGACTATGCTAATTGTAATCGCGTCACGTCAGGCTTTATTCTAATAGACTGATAAGCGGCTACTTTACATAAGAAGTAAGTCTAACAAAGTATAACTTTTTTTTGTATTGTCATTAAATTATATCTTCAGGTTCAAATTTTTATATTTACATAGAATCTTTTCTTTTTGTATTTATGACTAAATACTTTTGAATAATAACAATGTTGTCTTAGAACAAAGCGTTTATTCGAAGAAAGAACTCCAATAAACACGAAACCTAAAAATAGCTCACTAATACAAAGACTCCTGTAAAAATATTCTTAGATGTATACAATGCGTTTGTTTCAAAAAAATTGGTAGACATTAATATGTTATCTGGTTATTTTTCTAATCTCGGCATCATTCTGCATGAATCTTTGTATCAAGAATTTTTATTATCTTTAAAAAGATGAATTGTACAATACACTTAAGAATACTATATTCGAAATGGTAGAGCTTTATGAAAGCAAATGTTTTGTATCTCAAAAAGACTTTTTGGTTAGCATGCATAGTTCTTGTTGTGCTATTCAAAGATGAGATTCCTTCTCTGATGTTTTTCTTCCTGTATAATTTATGATGCTTTGAACTTTTGCTCATAAAATTAATGTCGCAAGAAAAAACTTGCCACACAGTCAACGTAACAGCAATTGATTGCTTTACGAATATCATTCTGATATTGACTTCAAAAACAATTCTTTATAGTCAATCTATTTGCCGAAACTACTAGTCTAGCAATGTAATGATCGATATATTGAAAATAGAAATTATATTCAAGGCCAACTCATATTCATTTGTCGTATTCAATGATCAAAATGATATTTCTGTAAAGTTCTAGAAGATTTCCGAAGACTTTTACTGTCATATTCAATGATTATTAGATGTTATTGGCATACAGCGAAAAAAAAATCGTTTCGCTCGAGTTACTCTAACCTATTAATAATATATTTTTGATTGTATTACTTTATCATTGTACTTGATGGAATAGTATGCGACATGTCCTAGATCATTAATATTCCTATTTTCTTCCCATGAAATCTGATAAATAATATCGCATAGTCAACTCCAATCAGACAAGATATTTTCGATCTAGACTAATAGTCATGATGGATGAAAATTCTTGATAGGAACGACTGCCATAGAGAAAGAAAAGGGCAATACTGCCAAATATTCAACAAGCTAGAGATCTATAAGATAGAAACTCTCAAAATATAAACATTCTTCATATCAGTCACATTAATATGCTAATTGAATTGTTTTCTGTACCAGATTATCTTAATAAAATATTCGTCACGTATCACAAGAATGCATGTATTTATCCCTCAAATTTTTAACTAAAATTTTACTAGAAAACGAATTACAGATCATTATTATTAGAATCTTGATTAGAAATTCTCAAAATGTTTCTACTTTTGTGTTCTAGCTAAATTTGTGCGTGTTCGATTTTGAATCGATAGAAAAAAATGAATAATATGAAAAATTTACAAGATATCATGAGAGAATTAAGTTCACACAAAGAGACCAAAACAGAGACAATACTATTTAAGTATCGTAGTAAATAAATAGCAATTTATAGTCTTATAATATACTAGTACTTATTGACTTTAAAGTATAAATTCTATACGACAAATTTCGACTTATCAATCTCATTTGATTCGTATCTACATTTATATGATTTCTTCTATCAGTGAGAGAAAACTTAATTGCATTAACTCACTCGTCTACGATACGAAGATTAAATTAGAATCCAACTAGAAGACGAGTAATCGTCGGTTGTCTCGAATAGTATGAAAGATTAATTGTATAATTGACCATAAAATGCTTTCTAATGAGTAGCGGAAGTATAAATGTTACTATTGATGTATTTATTCATGATGTCAATCAAGACTTTTGAATTTACATAATCTAAAGTAGTCTTACGAAAATTGAATATACAACTAAACTTAAAAAGATAATGTATGCAATGAATATAAAAATTTATTCCATGTTAAAAGTTGTTTTCATAATAATATTCATATGATTTATTAATAGTGTTTTCTGAAAACTGATACTTTGTATCTATTTTCTAGAGAGATAACTATTTAGACGACACATATTTATTCGATTGTATTCAAGTGTTTTTCATTGATATTCACTTCAGATTCAATAAGTTATAATCTTAATTAGTGTTTGAGTTAAAGACACAAAACAAAAACTGGGACAGTGATTAAGAACGCTCCATATCTTTCAAGGAGAAGCCATTGAAATATGTAGTAAGAATGCTCAGTGCCTGGAGATGTGATCATGGCAGTCACATTAGTTGTACTAACTGGAAGAAAAAAAGATATTGTATCTATCGGCAATGAGTATACTTTTTTTCAGCACGCCCCTTCACGGCGCGAGTCTGACTAGACAAGCGACAAGGACGCTTCTCGCTTGTGTAAACACATACCAATTTCACTTCAATCCATTCTTTTCTTACTATCCGCATGTAAAGATTTAAAAAAGCGTGAACAATTTTCATGGCCAAGATCCATTGTATTCTTTTTTTCTTTTTGTTGTTGTTAGAGCTTCCTGGATGTCGCGACAGTCGTTATCATCACGCTCATTATAGTAAGATATAACATAAATAGGAGTGTCGGTCGCTGTTCTTTTTGAAACATGAGAAAAAAGAGAAGATGGAAACGGATTTTCTAATTATCTTTTTTTTATTATCCTATTCTCTTTCTTCATCTTACAGTTGAAATGAAAGTTGACCGTTCTTATTTTGATTGAATAAATGACAAGTCATCATATTTTTTAATTAACATAGGTATCAAATAGATTGAAATCACTATCGACACATGGTGACAATGATGAGTTGTCAAATAAGCGAAACAAAAAATAGGAAAAATTTTTCACTTTTCTCTGACAGACCTTCTTCAATTCGATTAGCAATCAAAAGAAGAGAAATACTTCATGCCGAGCTCATATATGTATACATATATCCAAGAATAGCTTGCCAGTTGGCTCAATCATATACATTGCTCTTATGTTTACAATGCATGATAAAAATATTTGCTCGAGTGAATGACAACAAAATGATGACCATTCGTTTATTAAGATCAAATTACACATATGTACTGATTTAAAAATATCTCGATAAAGGAAACTTTCAGTTAGATGTAAAGTGATAATATAAAACTATCTTTTAATCATATGTTTCTAAGAGAAAAAAAAGAGGACAATTTTCTCCATTTAAAAGTTAGTCAGACAAGCGGAAGTGGATGAATGTAAAAGCCTTGACGACATGGGCGACGTATGATTTATCGACGTGTCTTCGTTACTATCATTAATGATGGCGCCGGCACTTTACAATTTTTTTGTTTAATTTAGACAATTGAGTTGACACATACAGATGGTTAGCATTCTTCGAAATCAAACACGAAAGCTCATGCTTGTCTCGTCTTACTAACTATAATTATATTTGAATGATAATGGACATAAACGAATACAAGTAATAAATCAAAATAGGAAGTGGACTTTTTTTCTCGCCAGATAAGAATGTTAGAGTACATACTCGTATACATATCTTTTTTCGTCTTCTATTAGAAATAGACATGCGATGTCCACTTTAAATTCTTGAATACTAACATTGCCACCTTACTAATGGACTGCAAATAGGACCGAATAGAAAGAAAGAAAAAATGCGTCATACATATCATAATAGCTATTGTTAGCTACTATGAATAAACGAGTTGAATTTCTGATATTGCATATATGATGTATAGAGAACAAGAGAGACAAGAACTACAATGGATGTTTAATTGTCTGCAACAAGTTCATTTGACAGAATATGATAAAGAAATTAGATCTGACACAATCCTTGATTTATCTTTTCACATTCAGTGTTCTCTGTCGTTGTTGACATCAGTGACAGCCTTTAATGGATGAACTGATGATTAGATTTCGGCTGAACAGTTGCACTTGTATTTCTTATTTCTTTGTTATTTGCTTACTGATGTGTTTTGATTAGAGTCTATGTTTCAAACAATGTTGAATAATCAACTAGCACCGATTCTAATGTTCATTCATTGGAGAAGTTTTTTTTTATACGAGACTTTAATACGATATAGAAAAAATCTTGATGAGAGGTGTCATCATTCTCATCATCACCACGACAGCAATGTTATTTTAAATTTAAGTCTCAAGAGAATAAAAAAAACGATCAGAATAGATAACTGACTGAACATAATCATTCAACTTGACTAGAACTATTATTGGAATCGCCAACTCATTCGAGTTTGATTATTCAAGCATGATTGCTCAAGCAGACAATACGTTTATCATTCTACACAATAACTTGTGTGTATATTTATGACATGGAGATGATTAGCTCATCGGTTAGCTTGTATTTTGCGATAAATTGGCATTTAAGTGATCCCTTATTGAACAGCAGCACACGTAATCTACTTGGTCAGCAAGATACTTCCTTCCTTCAACATTCATATCTTTTTCTTCCTATTCTTTTACTCTCTCCTTCTCTCCTGCTCTCTCTCTCTCTCTCTCCTCTCTTTCTCTCTTTCTCTTTTCTTCTTTATTAACATTTTTCATTTGTTGAATAGACATTCGTTGATCACTGAGTAGACATAACTCATACGTATCGGAATCTCGTTGAAATGATGGCATTTTAAGATAGGTATAAAAAAATTTCTTAGAGCTTTACTCTAAATCAAAGATTATGAGCAACGATCATAACGACTATCGAATCGTTACTAGTTATTTATTTTTCTTTTATAGATTTTTTGATCGACAAAAAACAAATGATGATACGTATTTTCATTCTATTTAATATCTACTATATTTCATTGACATTATCATCACGTTTAAAATATCGTGAATCAGTAACAGAAAACGTTGAGTTATATCATACAATAACATCCCTCGACAAAATGATTTCTGTGAATTATCAACAATCAATTGAATTTTTAAATATAAATTCACCTTATACAACCTATTTTCTTGTTGATGGACAAAAATTACGTACTAGTCGCTTAATTGATCGTGAAGAATTTTGTCGAATTAAATTATGTGAAAATTCTCAATGTCATCCATGTGAAATTTATATGGATTTTGTTTTGAAAGAAAATGGTCAACCTCGAGATATAATTTCATTAATATTAACAATCGAAGATGTTAACGAATATCGACCACAATTTTCAGATAATTCAAGAAACGATCAAACTATTCACTTGAATATTAGTGAAGGCGTGCCTGGTATGTATGTTTGTTGCACAACAAAAATGACCTTTTATGCGCGAATTCATGACATTCTGACGACTAATTGAGATCTAGTAAAGGACGTTGTGAATGAATTTTCTTCGAATCTTATAATGAGAATAATTATGTATACAAATATTTGCCTTTTTAGTTGGACATATTTTACCCATTCCAAGCGCAACAGACAAAGATGGTGAAGATGATGAACTGGTTTATTGGATTGATAAAAATAAAAAGATTCCATTTGAACTTGTTTCATTTGGTTCGAATCAAATTGGTATAAATCCATACAGACATATATATATTCTCTATACTTCTTTGTGTTTTTATTTTGGTGTAGCTTTGAACGTTACGGGACCGTTAGATCGTGAACTAGAAGATTTTTATGAACTTCAGTTAACAGCTAGCGATCGAGAAAATCTTACGACAACAATATCTGTTCATATCTCTATAAGTGATATAAATGATAATGTTCCCATATTTGATCAAGTAAATCCATATATAATCAATATTTCTGAAAATACTCAACCATCCTTGACGAAATCTCTTCTTCGTATTCATGCATTTGATAATGATTCGAATGACAATAGTCGTATAACATACAATTTTAGTTCACAAGTTAGCGAATTAATTCGTCAAACATTTCAATTAAATAGTCAAACAGGAGAATTATTTCTTCTTCAAGCGCTTGATTATGAACAATATAAAGAATATCGTATGCCAATAAAAGCACAAGATTCAGGTCCCGTATCAGTACCTGTTTACACATTGGTTATTATCAATATTGAAGATGAAAATGATAATAAGCCAGTAACAAATATTCGTACATCAGAATATTTTCAATTTAACAATAATACATTATATATCAGTGAAGAAACACCTATAAATACGCTATTAATGCACGTAATCGTACAAGATTTAGATTCAAATTTAAATGGTAAAGTTCAATGTTGGATTGAATCATCAGATTATTTAAAATTAAATATAACAAATGCGTTAAATAATATGTTTTCGATTTATACATCACAATTATTTGATCGTGAACAACAATCAACTTACAGTTTTCATTTAATAATTGAAGATTTCGGTTTGAAAATTCGTCATAGAGTAAAACATGATCTTCGATTAGTTATAAATGATATAAATGATAATCCACCAATATTTATTCAATCATATTATAATTTAACAATTGAAGAAGAACAAGACTATGAACAAGCATTGATAAGATTTGAAGCTAACGACAAAGATTTAAATGAGAGTAGCCAAATCACGTATGAATTAATGTCGAATGAATATAAATATTTATTTTATTTAAATGAAGACACAGGTGAATTATTTTTACGCGAAAAACTTGATCGAGAAATAAAATCTCATTATGATTTAATTGTACGAGCACATGATCATGGAAAATATCCATCACAATTACATACCGATGTAATTTGTTATATAAAAATTTTAGATAAAAATGAATATAAACCAGAATTTGAAAAAGAAATGTATTTATTTCATGGCATTAGTGAAACAATATCAATTAATACGTCAATTGGTTTTGTTAAAGCAATTGATCGTGATAAAAATTTAATTATCTATTCAATATCATCGTCAAATTTCAAAATTGATTCATTGACAGGTGAAATATTTGTTAATAAACAACTTGATTATGATGCAAATGATTCGTGTGAAAATTTATTTGTAACAGCGAAAAATCAAGATGGATTAAATTCTAGTTGTCCTGTTGAAATATGTCTTCAACCAATAAATGAATATCCACCAGAATTACATATTGAATCTCGTTTAATTTATGTTAATATTGATAATACTAGTTTCATACATATGCATGCATTTGATCGTGATCGTTCACCATTAAGTTTTCTTTCGTTTCGACTGGAAAAATCATCGAAATGTAATTTAACATGTTCATCGAATGGAACTATCTATATGGATAAAAATGAACATTGCATTGGTATTATTGATCTGTTCGTATCAATTGATGATAATGATCGATATCCATCATCGAAAACAACTAATGAAACAATACGTCTAGTTTTCTATTCCAACATAATATCATTGCAACAAATACTTTTTTCATCAAATTATAAATTTACAATTGAAATAATCATTATCACTATTATATTAATATTAATTATATGTATTTTTTGTCTGATTGTATATGTTGTATATAGACATCGTAGACAAATATCATTAAGTAAATCAACACAATTGAATAATATTAAAGATCAAATTGGTTTTACAGAGGTAAGTTAAATAATTAGACAATAGAAAATAGTTGTCAAATGAAATGAGAAAAATTATTAACTGAAATTACGCTTCTCTTTCTCTCTCGCTCAATATCTCGTTAGAGTTTTTAATTGAATTGAATTTCTTTTTTTTTTAGAATCATGGTTTACTGAATGATGGTCCTGTAGATGTGACTAATATTAAATTAAAACCAAATACAAATAGTGATACAAGTTCGTCATTCAATGATTCATGTTATGGTTCATCAGAAACCGATGTATATCATCATTTATCGGGAAATAAATTGGCCGGAAAGATTCTTATATCATCTAACGATAAATATATTATTCTATGCAAAGATCAAAATAATATAAATCATGATGAGACAAATTCATCATCATCTTCATCATCACCAAATGGTAATAATAATTCTAATCTTATAACAAGATATCAATCAAACAATCGTACAGGAATCGTACAAGCTTATCATACACAAATAAAATCTCCAAATCAAAATTTAGAATTTTTTCAAAATAATAATGAATTAAAGAAAGTGACTGGTTCAACAGCAACAACAACAACAACAACAACATTTAATTATCGAAATAATACTCCATTGAATGAATATTACCTTTAAGAAAAAAAACATCTTCTTTTTTATTGCCGGTGACTGGAATAATATGATGATGATTGAACTATTCATATGTATCATTTTAAGTTAATTTTAAACATTGACAATTCAAGTCAGATACTTTCTTTCTCTCTCTCTTTTGTCTTGTATATTTATGTGTTTTTTTGCTATCATTGATTGGAATGATAAAAGGGGATGACATAAAAATGTGAATTGTTACATCATAAGAAGGAATGTGCGTGTATGGGGTTTGCTTTAGTTAAATCAATATGTATGCATGTTCATTCCCTCAGGAAAGAGAAATATGAACACGAGATTATAAGAAGTCTGTTAAATGACCATCACAGTTCGTTCTTTTTTTTTCAATTCTCATACCTAACACAAGGTCATTAGTTGCACGAACGCATATACCTGATCTCTATGGAATAAATGTATATGATTATTTACTAAATATTATTTCACTTGACTCGTTTCTTTTTTTTGCATTGAGATTAATTTAACCAAGTTAGACCAGGGAATGAACATATCATACGATTGTATAATCTTTTATAGTGCACATAAATGACCGTTAAGAACTAAACATGATGTAAAATATTTGTGCTCATACGAAGTACCATATGAAATGTATATTGTGAGATCTATTATTTTAGACATGCATATTGTATGCACTGTTAAATTAACAATATCTCAAGTGATTATTATAACAAATAATTACACCTATGTGAATGATAGACATGCCGCGTAGTAATAGTCTGAGTATAAAATGTAAAAAAAAGAAGGAGTGGTTTTGATAGCAGCATCCACTTGAAAGTCATTATATACTTGTTCACAATGAACCAATGATTGCGAATGTCCATTAAACACTCATTCCGATGTAGTCTTTTTGTCTTAATCAATTTTTCCAATATTATAATCTTCGTCTTGTTGTCGTCAATTAATTGAATCGAAGAAAACTTCAAGTATTCATTCTTTTGCATAATCGATCAATGTCGACATACATTTTGCTCAATTATATCAAGTCCTTTTTTCTTTTGTTCGCGCATCAACATAATCTGAATTATCTATTTCCTTACTGCGTAGAAGAAAAAAAAGATTCAATCGAAGAATATATAGTTAGCTAAGCGTTCTTTTTCTTTTTTTCTTTTTTGTTGGATGATCGGATGTGGTCAATACACTTCGATGTGTCATCTTTATTGTCACCGGAAATGTTCGTATTCTCTCGTGATTACGTGAGAAAGTTATATTGATGCATGATAGACATTTACGCACTATGAAAAAAGTATAACGTCCTTTATATGTCTACTAATGGATTTGATTAGATGTCCACCAAGGCCTAAGTTTCATCAAAGTAATTAAAGAGTAGACAAGAAAAAAACGCTTCATCATGTTATATATATATACATATATAAAGAATTCCTCTAACTTAGTGTAATTGTCAATCTGTAGTTAGAGGGTTTCCTCTTTGTTGACATTAATCTAGTACTAGCATTACCAGCTACACTACGATGTGGGCTCACCTTTAGTATGTATGATTATGAACTAGTTTTATTTGTTCACTGAAAAAATCGTTTTGACTATAAGTATAAAAACAAGACAAATAATCAATCAAAATGTTTAATTATGAATGTTCTATGATATTTTCGATTAGTGTTTTTACAATACTACTAATTCGATATGATATCCAACAGTGAATGCGTAGGAAAAAAAACATTGAACACACCAGTTGTATCAATTATAAGCGATGCCGATCAAAGATAATAATACAGTAGACAAGTACAGTCTGTGAACTTTTGTATCATATTTTCTTGATGCACACTTTGTTCCTCTCTATTGGAAAACAAATGATAGCATCAACCGATCCGTTACAATTAGCTATGATTACCATGAATTCTGTCTGTTCAATTATCGAATAACAAATAAGAAATGCACATGTTTCGAAAATGGTTGCTGATGTTTTACAATTTGAGTGAAAGATATTTATAATCGAATAATGTAGAAAAATAAAGTATATTATATTTTATTAAATGGAAAAGTGCAGAACTACATAGTATGATGAATATTTATGGGAAAATATACTTTTGATCACAACAATCAATCAAGATATATGCTAATTTATGGTGGGGAAAGTTAATGTAGCGTTGAGAGTCAGAGTATGGGTGAGGATGGCTGCGAGGGTAAGACAGAAAGTAAGGACCATGGCAGGAGAGTGTTTATTGATGAACAAAATATCAATGTCATGTAAGAATACGGAAAAACTTCCCATAAAGTGTCTTCAATTCGACTCTGATTTTATTTTTTCGAATTCGTCTCATTTACTGTTTCAATTTTATCTATTTTAATCAGGCATTTAACTTCTGTTTTCCGTCCTGAATGGACTGTAGTAAAGGACTTTAAGAGAAAAATCTTTGCATTTTTTGAGCATCATGAGCTATGTAATGGCATCGTTCGCTTGTTTCATTTTTGATAAAATATTCAAAATCATCTCCTAGGAGAAACGAGAAATATTAGTAGCCACTGTCAAAGTTTCCAATTATTATTTACTGATAACACTACTAGTAGTATGTTTAAGGAAATAATCTAAGAAAAATGTTGCTATTATCATGCAAACACGGTCAGAATTTGAAAGATGAAATCTATCAAATATGTATACGGTGTAGAAACGCTTCATGTTAGAAGATTACGTGTATGTGCATATATGATGAATATTCAAGCAAACAAATTGAGTGTTGTTTTTTTACAACATAAGGAAGGTCTCCTTTTTTTATGGCTCGTTTTCTAGCATAAATTTGGAGGTTAAATCAAACAATCTCTATAAATAACTTTTCTCATTAAAATGTTATGAAACGAGTATTTTTGTACTGTTAAAATTTCAACTCTTTAGTGGTTTTACTTCCTTTTTCAAAATGATCTTGGAAAAAAAGTAAAAGGCACCAAGAATTGATCTGTTCTTTCAGTTGTCTGACAGAAATATTCGCCACAATATAAAATTGATTACAACTGTTGCCATATGATTCTCTCAAACTCTTGAAATATAATGTCTGTCATCATTGTATTAAGCGAAAATTTCAGTGTTGTCTTTCTTATTGAATAACTTCGGTGCAGCAAAACTTCAATAAGACAAATCTTTGAAAATTTAGATGGACGCATCTTGATCTGTGCTATCAAATGAGACTATTTTCAAACTATTCTATGCCGTTCATTTTACTAATGTAATTTATTCGTGAGATTACACTGTCTGACTTTAGCATGGAAAGATAGGCCATAATTAATGCGATGCGAAGCAGAAGCATTTCTGTAGTCCGTCGCGTACTCATCCAAATTCAGTATTCTTGTGGCGCGATGATCTCAAGAACTGAAATTCGTCTGATGCTCGTTGAAACGGTGTTAGTAACATTAAAATCTCTATATCATACAAATTTTGTCCGATTTCTCCTGTCAAATTCGGTTTGGGCAAAGTAAAATATGGATCGCATATTTCAGTTAGTCGATGCGATGTAGTGAGACTTGCCCTTCATTTAGCCATAATTAAAATGACGTCATAAGCAAATGCTAACGACACGTATGTCTGTCCGCAGCTGATTATAGATAATGAACCATACAGATAATTAATCAATCAATCGAAACCGTTCTCTTAAGAATATATCGCTATGTAAGAATAGAGTTTTCTCAGTGATGAAAACCATTATGGCTACATAAAACATTTTCATATTTCTTCGAATTGAAGATTTTTCGTGAAGATCCGATTCAATCTTCGCATCGCATTTCGTATTCAAGTGAAACTTGAATACCATCTAGTTTACTTTTTTACTTGACGCGTACGCATCTAAAAAGTGATTTTTGTTGCGTGATGATCTCAAAATTGGAGAGTCATAGAAGATTCGTTGAAAATTTAGCTAAGAGTTTTAAGATCGAGCTTGATATATCTTTTCCCCGCTTTTAATGACATCGCGTAACGCGTATTTGCTTCGCACCGCATCTCGTAGTTGAGTGAAACTCGTTCTTGCTTTCTAACTTGAGTACGCATAAAAGTTCTGATAAAGTGACGCGATTATCTAAAGAACCCAAGGAGGGAAAGCTGATTCTATGGCGATAGAATCATCGGAATCACTCGGAATCACCTGGAATCACATGAAGAAAATAAACACCAAAAAATGCATGTATCTGCTTCTTATCATGCTTGATCGAATACATTTCATTAGTTAGAAGCAGTTAAGTAGTTTTTTGGCAGTTTTTCACCGAGCAGTAGAATTTATTTTACCATTTTACAGCAAAGAGACAGATTTTATTAAACTCCTGTATAATTTCGACGAAAATATACATGTTTGACGGTTTAAATCGAGGTTTTCGCCTACTTCCTCTTCGTTCTAGCAATGGCGAGTGAGAAGGGGAGAACAAAGTCAAAGATTATTGGGTAGATTTCTGTAGCATAGAGAAAAGGCGCGTAAGCAATAACGATGGTTATATCATTCTAAAACTCTGTACGCCCTAACTACGTAGTCTAAAGATGGCAAGTTTTGGTATTTAACGCAACGAAATGGTGTTATTGTAGATGTCATTCAGTAGATCGAAGCTATTATTCATTTAATAGAGTAAGAATAGGATGAGCACCATGTAAAATTATGAAATAGTTCAATTCCAAGTTTAGAAAAAACTCAGCTTACATCTCATAATTTGTCAAAACAAGTAATAGTGTGTCAGACTCTTCCTAAATGATTTAATCAATGTATATAGCAAGCTAATATGGTAGTCAAATAGATGATTGAAAGAATAAGATGATATTTACACTTGATATAACGTGTCACATATTATCATTGGAAGAAAAGAATCGATGCACTGAAGATGTAATGTATTTCATAATAGAAAAAACGTTTGCAGTCTAACAATATTAAATGGATCTAATAAATTGCTCGAATAATAATAATACATGGATACATTTTCGACATGATTAAATATACGAGCACGCGTATCCACTTTAAAAAGTCGTAATCGTTTTGGATGGTTTATTTGTTAAGTTATTTGACGCCCTTTCACATTTTATCTCAAGTATACAGTAAATAGAGTTTCTGAATTCCATATTTTCAGTCCTGAAGAGACTAAAGCGATAAGTTTTTCGACAGCTTTTACCGTATCAATCAAATTATCGAACCATTTTCTGATGCATAATCAGGTTCCCAAGCAATTTTCAACTGATTGAGTACAAAACGATTCTTTGACTTTTCAAAGTCAATCAAATCGATCTGATTGTCCAAGTCAGAACAGTTAGAAAACTTGACTGGTTGCTGGAAGCAGCGATATTAGTCTGGTTGGCACGTGAGAAACTGCTCTAAAATATGGGCGACCTTTTTTCTTTAATTTCCTTTATACTAAAGGATAAAGATAAATTATTTACTGATCGCTTTTTCCTAAAGATAAAGGATTCATTTATCATTGCTTAGTGCAGTAAGACTAAATGACCACTCATATTCTATAGCTAATTAAGTTATCAATATTCTTCGATGGAGCTTGCGCCAAAACTCTTACAATTGCAAATTTCTATCGTCTTTGATAATGAGGAAATGAGAAAGTTTTCGACCTAAGCGATCTCTCTTGTTTCATACATTCCCAGGTCGAGCAATCCGACAGTAGGCACCTATCGGAACCCATCCGATCCGACTGGAATCCAATAGGATTTTATCGGATCCTCAGTGTCGGATTCCTATGAATTCCAAGGAAAAATCGTTGTATGCCATCGGAAGTTCATAGAATTCTGACACTGAGGATGCGACATCGATTCCTCGACCCAGAATCCAATAGAATTGTATCGGATTGTAGGATATTTCCAGGTTCCTATCGGATCCGATGTCGGATCAATCGACCTGGGAAGTAGTTTTCGTATATTCTTCGTTATGCTGTTGTTCCATCGCAGTACTTTCTCGGTCTTGAGAGTCGGAAACAATGATGTCCGAAAGGAGTCTATAGAATATCGTGTGATTCTCAACTTTTTGGGAAAGATTGGTGCTAGCATACACAAAGAGGCTATCTTTTGTGTTTGATACAGAAAGTAAAATGAAAAATTAAGTCATCTACTTGAGCGCTCAGGCTGCTTTATACTTTTGGAGTTTACTCTCTTCACGATCCTTCACTTCTTGACGTTTAAAGAGTCCTCAATGAGGACTCCTCTCTCCATACCATTGAACTTTTACAAACTGTATATATTAACGATGAGCTCCAATTTCGAAATCAAAACAACAGTAATCCAATTTCTTTCATGATTAAATGTTGATTTCAACTAAATCTAACATTTTGACATCATTACCGAGCGAGATAATTCACTTGCGATCTGTAATTCTTTGAGTGGTCATGGTAAAACAATGAAACAAACCGCACCGGTCTGTTGGTCGGTTAGATGACGTCCCAATATATTATTTTATTGTTGTGAAATGAGAACTGATACGCTTTTCGCTGAGATTCAGCAATATACAAATTATGTCTCTTGTGCTCGACTCAATGATTCTTGCGATCATGAGTAACTGATTTCTCTATTGAATGGAATGATCGGGAGTCTTCTGAATTCATCTATGTAATGATTCTATAATGTTCCTATTGATGTTACGACATTATAGTCGAGAAATACGGTGATATTCATAGTGATTCCAGAGCCGATTGAATCACATGGAATCAACAGAATCACATAGAATCAATAGAATCACAGAATCACGGAATCAGCTTTTCCCCCTTGCATTTTCCCCATTGGTTATCTGGTTGGTCGATATGCTATGAATTCACCTATGAAAAGACCTTTACGTGTGATTTTACAAGTAACTAGATATTTATTTTAAAATGAAATTAATAGTTTTATTTTTAGATTTTTGGTGTTGCATTAGCTATATGTGGCTTTTCCTTTGGAGTACATTCTGTTCGTACACCATCATGGCTTCATTTTAGACATGCTCATGCTATCATTGGTATTATAACATTTATATTAACATTAATTCAATTCCTTGTTGGATTGTATGTTAAGATTTTATTCCTATTTTTGTTTTTTGAAAATTTATTTATGCATGATTCTTTGTTTTTTTTGTTAAGAACTGGTGTTTGTCTCATTGCAAGAAGTTCGAAAAAACATGCAATTCTTCGTGAATCAAGTTATAAAATAAGTCAAGAAGAAATTAATCAAGATACATGGGTTGGCAAACGTTCATGGAGTATTATTCATCGCATACTAGGAGCAATCGTATTGTCACTTGGATTTGTCAACATATCATTGGGTGTTTTTCTTGCTGTATTACCATTACCTGTTTGGATTGTTTGGTTTGTGTATATGAGTCTCCTTGTAATTATTCTCGTCATAATGGAAATCTATAAACTTCTAAAAGATTCTGGCACTCATAAAACAGGTTCATTTAAATCTAAAGGTAAGAAAATATTTTTTTTTACAAATCTTAAAAGAACTCTCTATCATACAATGCAGAAAGAATGCCCGAATATACTATCTATGATCATAATAGTGAGTTAAATATTTAGATCGTGTTTTATATGTATTTGTACATAGATATGATAGTTATTTGTTGTTTTGTTCGTTATTATTTTTATTTTGCACTATATAGAACGAAACAGATAGGAGACAAATACTAGAAAAATTTGTGTACATAAATGTCATTTTAATTGTTGTTTTCAATGTCGTAGAACGTTATGATCCCAGAGGTACATCGCAGGCTTCCTTAAAATATTCAGAAGAACCAACTGAACGACAACCATCCACAATAACACCGACACCACGTCGTAGCTTTAGCCGAGTTCCTCCACCTAATTCATCAACACGCGATAGTTTTGTATACAGACCAATCGATGGTAGTCGTAGTCATGTAACTACTCTTGACGACATGTCACCACTCGGGTCTAATCAAATTCAACAACGGCAAAGTCGATTTGGTGATGTTAACGCATCAGCTAGCCTTCCGGAACGTAATCGACAAGATGATAAACAATATACAGTATCACCAAGAAAAAAGAGTAGAGCAGCGGAAAGAGATGATGTTGGATATTATGCTGGTCAAACGCAAGACTATGAACAACCATTGGCGTACGTCGAATATTTCACTTATCTGTCCACTTTCTCTGAACTGATGTTTGCTTCATCGACATGCTTACCCTCTATTTTTTGCTCTTATATTTTGACGCTTCCATATTAACCTTTGATTTTTCATGCCACAATTTCATGTCTTTGCACGTTCGACTTTGCTTTTATCATCTATTCAATGCTTCAAGATGATCATTACATCTTTTCTTTTGTTTTTCCTTTATAGACGGTCGACATCACAGCAGCAAAGCGAGCACAATCTCACTCGAATTCGGCTCCAATAAACATTGGAATGCGCCGAATTCTCATTATCGTATTCCAGCCAAGCTTCTTCATCCACAATTAATTCAGGCAGATTTCCAATTTATCGATGAAATTGATGAAGAAAATTTTCCACTATGTCAGAAATGAATTTTACTGTTCAGTATCATTTTGTTACTATTTCTCAGTGAAAGATCTATATCTTTATGCAGTAGCTTATACTTATTACATATTTGAAAATATTTGTCTTATTTGATTTCCACCAATTTTTTTTCTAGTTTTAATTTTTCGCAAGTTTTATTTACTGTGACAATTTCTTCAGTTTTCTTTCTCTTTCATAACATTCTTCTGTATAAATGTTTTTTCACTTGTATGTGTCTATTTGTATGAACTGCCATGGCGTCGATATGCATACATAAATTTTATATATGTACAATGACATGGTTTATTTTTCACTTTGATAAAACCTTAATTAGTACTGAAAAAAAAACAGACTGTTTAATACGTACTTCAATGTGTGACTACCATATGAGTCTAATTGCAATTTTTTTTATAATGAAATTGTTTTTTTCTCATACTTGTTAGCACATGAACTCGAAAGTATACAATCAATAGTGGATTGCGGTAGAAGATTAGATTTCTTTATATTTGTTAAAATTCGTGACAATGCCAATATGTTTTGTTGCAATAGTATACTTATTATTCTATATTGATAAACGATTACATTCGAAAATCGATCGTTTCAAGTGTTCGATATGCATTGTAATTCAAAATATCAATTGAAAGATTTGGGAAATATCGATAGGCGACTGTATAAGTTGAACCTTAGATTAACAAGCTAAAAGAAGGAGTATATGAAAGTTTTTAATAAGCCATCAAATTTTACTTTTTGCATATGAACAAAATGTGCTAACATCAATATTTTATCAATAAAATACATATGAATATGATTACATTATAGTTTGATAGTTGAATAAAACACGATTGCATAGCTTTGCAAAAAGTAATGGAGAATAAAAAGCTTACGACACTCGGTATTCCCAGGCGGTCACCCATCCAAGTACTAACCGAGCCCGACGTTGCTTAACTTCAGTGATCGGACGAGAACTGGTGTATTCAACGTGGTATGGCCGTAAGCAGCAGTCACTAATTCATTTAGATAGTGAGCAATAGCAATCCTTAAAGTTAGAAGAAAATCCTCGATCACAAATTGCGTAGAATATACACCAGCAATAGTTCTTTTATTTATTCTTGTTTCTGAATTATTGAGACTCTTGGTGCTGAGAATTATTAATGCGATGCTAAGTATAGCATTTGTGTAGTCCGTCGCGAGTTCTTTCTTTTTTAAAGCGATCGATGCGAGAGCTAAATTCTCGTAAATCTGAAAGAGAAGATACTTAGAGTGCGTATTACAAGGTTGGATGTGGAAACTTCTCAATTATGATCGAAAGATAGAGCTTTTCAAAGGCCGCAAATGCCTACATTGTTTAATTTTTATCGTCACTGATCAACGAAAAAATCTGCAAAAACTAATCTGCAACTTTGAAACTTGATGCTATTCTACTTGTTGAATATTCTTTTTTTAATGTTTTTTCTCAACTTTCAACAGAAAAAAAAATTGTAGTATCAATCTTGTAGAGAATTGAATGATGAATCTTTTGGAAAAAAAACTAAGACCTAGAGAATAAAAATGATGAAGATATTGAAAAAACACTGAGAGGAACACTTAACCTGGACCACCCGATACATAGATCTTGATATTGTCATTAAGCACTAGTGCCGAGACATTTCACTTCAACTACCTCTGGATAATGGTATTCTACTAGTTTGTCTGAACTTCGTGGGTTGAAAAGTTATAACAGGAAAAAAGCTTGTAATTTCACCGCACCAATATTAATACACATTGCTTACCGGTTTACTTCTAGCAAGATATGACGATGAAATGATAAATTCAATTATCCATTGATTTGCGATGCATACAACTGCTCATGTTTTTTGTTGATAAAAATGTCGCGAGTAGTAAACTATGTAGCACAATCGATAAATAGAAAATGCCGCGAATGGTAATGGAACTTGAAGAGGTGAAACGAGATATACATAGAGTAAGAAAATACGTGAATTCTTCATAAGTAGATGCTGAAAATCGAATTGTCCTATTGCAAAGAAGACAAGAAAAAACGTGTTAGAACATATAGCAGCTATTCACATATTCAAAACGACGAGCACATAACATCGTCATAGAATAGATGATGCAAGGATAATGCTCATGGTGAAGACAATAATTTGTAAAATTGAAATAATGAGTGCGATGCCAGCCATCTCAATGAATGTTTAAATGACGTGATGTTAGTTGTAAATCTGATCTTTACGACAGTTCACTGAAAGCAAACAGTTGAATATATCTTCGATAGAAAAGCAAAATTCACATAACGCCAGGAATAACAGTAATGCTGATAATAACGAGACAGATCAAACATACTTAATACATTCAAAATCAGGTCTAGATGAGATATCTATCTATAGAGAATTGTACATTATTAGGAAAAACATGTATTGATGATCATTGGTAAAATACACCTATGAAATTTAAACGAAAAAGTGATCTGCTAGTTACGAAACTGTGGATAAATGGGGTTCAACTTTTTGCAGATTTCTCACTTCAACAGATCGAAAATTCTTTCAATATCGTTTAGAGATAAATTAGAATTAGAATAAAAACCAGAGTATACTGTGAAAATGTCGATTTTTCTAATCAACACATGAAAAATATTGTCCACACTTAAACCCGAATATCTGACATCGGATTACTTCACTTTAGATTACTGTTTCCGAATAAAAATAACTTTAGAATGCTACTCCTAGTATACACTCGAAGAGAAAAATGCTTTTTTGCCAATTAATAACGTTTGCTATACGTATATTAAGAAGCTAAAATAGAGTTCAATAGAAAATATGCATTCGACTTATTTCTAACTGTAAAATTTATTATTATCTAAAGAATAAAGGAAAGAATAGCTCAAAGAAATATATTGTTTCATCGTTTTATAATGGATACGCACATAAGTCTGTCTAAGCATAATTAACTTTCACTAATACTTTGTTTTGTTTCATTTCATAATAAGGAAATATCTGAGAAAGTTAAAACGTGGACAAGCAATCAAAGCGGAAGAATTTTTATTTAAATTTACGTCATGCTGAATCTTCATTGTAAATATTTTATTGTAAGTGAGTACGTATTATGTTTTAGCTTTTCTGTGTTCTTGCACAATAACTAAGTCTAGTTTTCTTTGAAATCTTACAATCTAATGTATTCTCTAATCTTTGCATGGTTTCGAACCTAACTTTAAAGTATATTAATGCTTTCTCATTGTCTCCATGAGATGAAATTTAAGGAACCAAATGAAATTCATTGAGTATGTGTTTAGAGTGCAGATGTAGATTAAGAGCACATAAAGTTTCACATTAACACTTCGGCTACTTTTGTTGGCATATTCAGTACTGATCGATGTGAACCCTATCGAAATTCAAAAGGCACGTAATTGTGAGGATCTATGCAGCACATATGTTCTTATGAATAAAAAAATAGCAGTTCAAATAGTGACTGATAGATTCTGAACGCTTTCCAACTCGATGAAATTAAAAATCAGTATTGTTCTGTTGGACGAGGCATGAACATGCTAATGTGTGCGAAGATTTTATCAGATTTTCGATTGCTAATTTTCTTCTGGAACCAGTTAATACAAGGACAAGGTTGCACTGTTCATAATAAGTTCAAATAATATTTTATTCATCACTCAGAAAAGAAAAAAAATTTTGAAATTGCTTTTTGCTTGAGCTTGAGAGAAAAATTGGTACAAGACAAGTGAATCGAAATTGGTTTATTCGAAGTTGAGAATCACTTTTTCAGTTTTATATCTTTTACCACAAGGAATTGATGCAATTTCTAGATGTTTTTGAAATCTATTTTCAAATTCTGATAAAAATAAGGACTATGAACTGTTTTATTGGAACAACTAGCACTACTTGGAGAAAATATGCATTATCCAACTGATAGCGTCATCTGCAATCTTTTTGCTTAGAACGGTCAGACTACTTGTACAAATGAATCACATGTATTCTTGTTGCAGAGTACACGACAGATAAAGTTGAACTTCATGCATATATGTTTTTGGTTCTGAATACTCAGAAACAAATTAAAATAATCGCACGAAATAATGAGTATTTTAGTTCGTAGTTTTAATACTTATCGATTCTTCGAACTGGTTAATCGTGTATGTTTAATACAATCAAGTAAAATATTCAATTTATTCTTCTCTACTGATTTTTTATTTTAGTAATTGCCAAAATTGTTTTTTTAGTATCGTGTTTTTCGGATGCAGCAGCAGACAAAGATCTAACAAACACATCAAATGTATCAGTACGTTCGTGTGATTTTGAAGTATTCGGCACTGTTCAACATGTTTATTTTCGTAAATATACTCAACAAGAAGCAATAAAATTAAATCTTGTCGGCTGGGTGAGGAATACTGAAAAGAATACAGTACAAGGACATATGGAAGGTTATAAATCTAATATAGAACAGATGAAAATTTGGCTTCAAACAATAGGAAGTCCAAAATCAAAGATTACTAAAGTCGAATTCAAGAACCAAAAATCAATTACGGAATTAACTTCGAAAACATTTGAAATTAGAAAATAAAAATGAATATTTTGCTCACTTTCTCTGCCATTTACTCGTTTTATAGTTGTAGAAACGAATTTTTCATTTCAGATCTTATGGTTTTCATAACTACTATTCGCCATGCGATTCAGCAACGTTCACGAATGTTTCTTCCAACACCAATTCATCTTCCAAGAGAAAGTCGTTCTAAAAGTCAACCAGTAATTGATTTTTGTTTTGTGTGAAGTTTCCTTGTGACGGCTTTTTTATCACTTCTAGTTCTCGATAAGATACAACTAAGCAGGCTAAGCTTTTCACCATGAAAAAGATAATTTCAAATGAGTAGACAAGTGTTTGAGCAAAACTCTTATCAGCTGTTTCACTTAGAAATTCTAGACATGCATGAGGCTGCATCTTCATAGATGATAACTTTCATAGAAAATGATGTCGACATTGCTAGCTAAAATCTAAAGTTTGGCCTCTAGAATGCTATAAATTCTGAAGTAAATATTAAAAATAAAAATGAACGAGTTCATCTCTTGCAAATTTCCTTGGTAAACGTTTTAGTTTGATTGGCTTTTAACTATTTGACAGCTGAAAGCAATCATAAAATGATAGAAAAAAAAACTCGATTCAATTCCATTATAATATGTTTTTATTCTATTTTAAACTAGTTATTACAAGACGCAGCTATCATACATAGTGTAGAACATGGCTTTCCACAATTGTTACCAACAGGTAATATTAGCAAAAGATCTAACGTGATTGATGAATATTATTTCTTAGGTTTTCGTGTTTTAACTAAATTAAAAAGTTTAATTCGAAATGAAATGAATAATGTTGGCGGGCAAGAATTATGTCTTTCAGCAGTGGGACGAAAAACGATTTGGGAAATAAGTGGTATGAATAGAATATTCTGTTGATGTGAAGATTTTGTATAGATTGCTTATAGACCGATGGAATTTAATGCATGAAGAATTATTTAAATTTAAAGATCATGACGAAGAATATTGTCTAAGTCCAGTAAATATAACTCATATGCTTTTAAAAAGACAAGAAAAACATTCTTTATTCGACTTTAGACTCATGAAGAAGCAATCACTAAACTTGTTTCATCTGTGTGTAAATCCCTTCCACGAAGTAATTATCCATTACTTGTTTATCAGGTAAACTATTTGATTGATTGATTTTTAAAAGAAATAGAAACTGGTCATTCATGATTAGCAAATCTAGATTACATGGAAATATCGTAATGAACGGAATTATCGCCACGGTCTTCTTCGAACCAAAGAATTTCTTATGAAAGGTCTTATATTTCTTTGATTAATTTTGCAAAAAAAATGTATTCATTTGCTTTCTAATGATTAGATCTGTATAGCTTCCATAGAGATGAAGAATGTGCACGTGTTGTGTATGATCAAGTTTGTGATGCATATGAACGAATATTTAAAAAATTAGAACTCAATTGTTTTAAAGGTATGCATCGCATTCTAGATTATAACTATGTAAAATTCTTCTTTTTTTTAAAATTTTTTCTTTATTTAGTACCAGCTGATAGTGGTTTGATGGGTGGCTCCTTAAATCACGAATTTCTAGCAGTATCACCCGTTGGCGAAGATACATTACTTGTTTGTCCAGAGTACGTTGAGCTACGATCGGTATAGTTTTAAAAGCAAAAGTAGAGCAACATAAACCTTTTGTAAAAACTTATGAAGGAGGCAATGATAATAAAGGTCAAGCCAATGAGACAATTTTGAGATATCAGCAAAGTAGAGATTCATTTTTTTTCTTTTCTTTTATTGACTATTTTATGATTCGTAGTTTTTCTGTTAAAAGAAACAGAGTGGCCTGTGAGCCATAAATATTTGCTTATTCTCATTTTAAAAAATGTTTATAAAACTAGAAGAAGGCAAACGTAGACTTATTTAGGAGTTCGATTGATGGTGCATGATTTGATCAAAGTCTTATCTTCTTTTATATAAAGTATTATGTAATCTACAATATTTATTATCTATCAATAGAAGTAAGCTTGCTCTTTCGATTTCTTGTACGGCGACAGTAGACGAGAGTTACTTGATAAAAATCGTGTGCCTTATGTTTTATTTGTTGATTTATTTTTGATATATTGGCTGTCCTAAGAAACATTGCGTTCTGAGCTGTTGAATGGCAAGTCTTTTTTTCACTAGATTCGCCATCTGTTTCTCGACGAATTGATTGTCCTACTTTCTGTGAAATAGATTCTAAATATTTTTCTAAGTGAATCTTTTCTAGTCGAAAGAATATAATAAATAGAATAGTTTAATGTATTTCAATACTGAGTAGCTATGAAATATAGTTCTAGATGATAGAAGAGAGTCTATTTTTCTGATCCTACTGAAACGGATGGAGTTGAACCTATGGCATTCTGATCAGCTTCACCAGCTTTAAATTCATTATGATGCCATTGACGGGTGCAAACGTTTGCATATTGATCTGCAGATATGCTCAATGTTTTCAAGAGATTTAATATTTTATATGTTACTACGACTGAGAGTAATCGAGTGTCTCTCAGTCGGTAATAACCATTGATATCACATCGGCTAGCTATTGTAGTTAATCAAAAATTCGTTATCAAAACAAAAAAATACCTATCGCATAACCATGACTTATTCAACTTTGTATATTATCTTGGTTAGGCTTATTGGTAAGAAAATAAATCATTTCTAATAAAACGAATCTATCATTCCATAAAGAATTGAAAAGCAAGCCTGATAGAAACAGAAGATCACATTTGAGAAACCAAAGATTGTTACAATACTAATAGATACATTTAATTCGTATAGATGTAATCGTGGATCTTTAAAAAATAAAGCTCAATGTGAGCATACGCAAAAAATTGAACAGCGTGCCATTGAAATTGGACATTGTTTTCTTCTTGGTGATCGTTACACAAAAGCATTTAATGCCATTGAGGGATCGTCAGATATTGCCGTTGACAAAAAGTAATTAAACTAAAAGCAAAGAATTTAGCAATTTATATCTATTTCTCTTTTTTTCCCCTAAAGACCTTTAGTGATGGGCTGTTATGGTATTGGTGTAACACGTTTAATGGCAGCAACAGTTGAAATACTTACACCAAAGGACTCTGATGATATACATTGGCCACGACGAATTGTTCCTTATCAAGTTGCTATTTTACCACCGAAAGTTAGTCAAAGTTTTTTTTGCTATTGAATTTCACCAATCATACATATGTTTTTATTTGACTTTAGAAAGGTAGTCCTGAAGAAGCCAATGGTAATGAGAAAACTCTTGGTCGCTTGTTAAATCTCAGTAATACGGAATGGTTTGTTGATGATCGTACTGAATTGACAATTGGTTATCGATTAAAAGATTGTCAAAAAATGGGTATTCCTATTGTTATAGCATTTGGAAAACGAGCTGTAAGATTTTATCTCTATGAATATTTGTTTATTATCAATCATTTATTTATTCATCTATTAAGACTAAACAAAATTTATGTGAAATTATCGATGTATACAATAATCGAACAGAATATTTAGACTATGAAGATACATTAAAGTTCATTCAAGATTATTATTCAGCTTTTTGTTAGATATCATTGTTTTTGCTTTTAAGAAACAGAAAACAAAATGACAAGAAAAGAAATTTTCAATGTTAAGTTTTGACTTTTAAAATTCCACTTTCTTTCAGAGCAAAAAATGCCCTCGTCATTTTCGAAATCTAATGGTACCTATGCTGCATTAGCTACTGGAGCTATTGCAGTTACATATGCTGGCACACATGCATATAAATCACGTATTCAACGATTACATGATGATGGAATCGATCTAAAAAATCAAACAGTTGAGATCGATCCTGTAGAACATATTCGTCGTTGTACCTTTTATAAAGATATTGATCTTTTCTCGTTCTATAAAACAATTTGTCCTAATATACAGACATTAGGTGATGTTTTTTATAACGGTTATTCGGCGTCGAGAAATGGACCATGCATAGCCTATGTTGATCCAGCAAAACAAACGGAACCTCTAAATTGGATATCCTATTCAACAGCATTAGAACGTATACGTATAATAGGTTCTCATTTATGGACAGAAGCTAAACTAACTCCAATGAAATCAACAATTGCTATAATATCATTGAATCGTGCTGAATATGCATTTGTTGAACATGCCGGCTATATGTACGGATTCATTATTCTTGGTCTTTATACATCGTATGATCCAGAAACGATTTTATCAATATTAGAAAAAACAAAAACAGAAGTATTGGTTGTCGATAATTTAGATCGTATTGAATCTTTTAAAAATCAATTGTTAGAAAAAACATGTCTAAAAGAAATTCTTATTATGGATGATGTAACAAGTAGTGAACATCCAAAAATTAAAAACATTCCAAAAGTTTTAAAAACTATGCAACAATCCGATGTTCGTCCACGTCCTAAAATTGATCCAGATAGTATAGCTTCTTATATTTTAACCAGTGGAACAACAGGTTTGAATGAACACAACTATTCTTGAAAAGCAAAATAAAAGAAATGTATAATATTTTTATATTTAAGGTGAACCAAAACTTGCAATGCTATCCCATGCAAACTTTCTATCAACAGCGAAAGCTGGTATTGATCGTCGAGAACGAGCTAATATGGGTGCTGACCCTACTAATAGACATTGTTCATTTTTACCAATGGCACATTTATATGAACGATTAACACTAATCAGTCATTTTATTCATGGTGTACAAGTTGTTTTTTGTCCAATTCCAGAAAAACTTTTTGAATATTATCCAATAGTAAAACCAACAAATCTCTCAATGGTACCTAGAATTTTAAATAAAGTCTATGATACCATTATGACTGAAGTAAATAAAAGTAAAATAAAACGTTTTCTTATTTCACAAGCATTACACAATGAACAACCAACATTATTTTCACGTTTTATTTTTCGAAAAATAAGAAAATTATTTGGCGGAGAAGCTATTGCTATGCTAACTGGATCTGCTCCGATAACACCTGAAGTATTACACTTTTTTCGTATTGCACTTGACATACCCGTTGTTGAAGCATACGGTCAAACTGAATCAACAGCTGCTGGCACAAGTACACATGTTATTGATATGTCATGTGGTACTGTTGGTTCACCAGGAGCTGCAGTTGAAATAAAACTTATTGATGTGCCTAGTACCAACTATCGAAGTAGTAATAATCAAGGGGAAATTTGTATACGCGGGCCATGCATTTTTAAAGGTAAAATTTTATATAATTAGTTGAAAGTTCAAATCAGTTTATCATTTTTCGATATTTTTAAAGGTTATTATGGTGACGAAGCTAAAACACGTGAAACTATTGATGAAGGTGGTTGGCTTCATACAGGCGATGTTGGCGAATGGACAAGTACTGGTGCCTTACGTATTATTGATCGTGTAAAACATATATTTAAACTAAGCCAAGGTGAATATATTGCACCTGAACGTCTCGAAGATGGTTATATTCGTTCTCGATGGATAGCACAAATATTTGTTGATGGAATATCAACAGAATCAGCTGTTGTAGCAATTGTTATACCCGATGAAGAATATGTACGAAGTCACTTTCGAACGGCAAACTCAAATATGTCATTGGACGAGATATGCAAAGATGAAAAGCTAAAAGAAATTATTTTAACAGATTTAAAACGATTAGCTAGAGAATATAAATATCGTCATTATGAAACAGTTGTTAATATTCATCTTCATCCAGAACTATTGTCACAAGAAAATGGTCTTATTACTTCAACATTTAAAACTCGACGAACAGCAACTCGACAATACTTTCAACATATTATTCATTCGCTTTATCAAGCTAGTGATAGAATAGAAAAGCCGAAAAATGTTGAAGAACAATCAAAGTTATAAACTTTACCTTGCTAATATTTATGAGTGCTAATTAAATGGGTACATTTTTCCTTTCTACTTTGTGATTTGATAAATTATTTGATTTACTTTTTTTTTTAAATTGGTTGATTTGCGATGCATGCGTGTTTCCGTAATAAAATTTGGTAGTTTAAAAGATACAAACGAATATTCGCAAACGAATTGAACTACACATCGGTTATTTTTCAAATATATCAACTCTAAAAAAGCCTTTATAGTCATCTGCAATATGATCTAAAATGATTATAGAAGTATCTAGCAAGTGCTTTGAAAAACTTTCTTTCATAGATTGTAACAAATGGGTTACGTCGGTAGCACTTCTCTCGAATGTATCACTGACTGTGCATTATCACATCTCAAAGTCGACAATCTTATATTGTGTCTAACTTACAATAGCTTCTATAGCCGACATGAGATAAATGTTAACAAGAGCACTGCTTTTCAAGAGTTCAAAGCAGTATAAAATATAAAGAAATCAAGCCTAGACAAATATTTGATTTGATCTATGTTTACAGACTGATGGACTCTCTTTGCTGCAGAGAGAGATAGAGAGAGAGTTGATGTAATCTGACAAGATAATGATATTTATGTTAAGCCAGAACATTCATACTTTTTATTTTGTTTCGTCCGAAGATTTATTCTTTTTTCTCCTTCATCATTCCATGAGAGTTTCTCATCACTGTTTTCGTAGAAAATTTGACGACGTGTCTTGAAAGAGAACTTGCTAATTTTTCTCGGTCTTAAAAAATGATCGAAAGATTTTATTTACATGATGCAGATACCGCTCGCTTTTAATTAAACAATAGTAATCGAAATTTATTTTTATTTGAGGTCAAAATACAAATGAACGAAACAATGCCCTTTCAGATGATTTTCTCTTACAAAAAAAATCTTATTTGGTGATGGAATCTGTTCTTTCATCTTGCATTAAGTCTTCATGTGCAAAATTGTCATTATATTCATTTTCTTGTTTTTGTTTTGCTAATATTGATGACGATGAAGTAATCTTTTGTATACCGATTACTTGCATACCATCAACAGGTGTAATAACCATCATTTCTTTTTCTCGCGTTCGAAGACGAAATGTTAATAGATTATCGTCTGGATCAATATCACGAATAGCCGATCGCGCAATATCACCAAATGAAAGTAACTTTGATGCTATAAAAAATGTTACATTATTATTTAATGATGTATATTGAAGTTGTCTTTGTTCATTTGTGACGATAACACCTTCAACAGTTGGATTGGCTAATATTCGTTTTAGCATTACCTCTTCCATTGGTGACACATCTATATCTATTTAAAATAAGCTATCGATAATCTACTAGGATATTTTTTTAAATAATACTTGGTGAATTTTCCATTTATTTTTAGTTGCTCGGCGTCGCAATTTTGTCGTTGATAGAGGAACTATACACAAATAAAAGATAATTCTTTTACACAATTGTGATTGATAAGAAGAGAACTTTTATTGCGTGAAAAAGAAACAGAACAAAAAAAATCTTTATTCTTGACCTCTAGACCAATTCGTAATGATAAATACGTAGGATACCGTTCAACAGAAAAAAAGATAATTGAGAAAACAGAAAGAAAAAACTTAGACTTCCGATTGTTTTACAAGCCGAGTTTTTTTTTATAAACGGAACGACATTCCGAAGAAGAAAAAAAGATTGACAAATTTATATTTACTTTTTATTTTATTCTTCCCGTTCACAATTTTTTTCTTGATGCTTATGATAGCAACTATTGTTCTATCAGAGTAGAAACTAGTTGTTACATTGAAGAAATAGTATATATGTTTAATTATTCATAAGTTTGCTATCGCCGTTTGTTTAACAGCGACTAGTAAAAGGCCTTTCGAGTTTTAATGATTTTTAAAGTGAATTATGTCATTCAAATAGTTTTGTTAGATGTTTATTGTTACATTGGAATATATATATATGACTGAATTAATCAACAAAGTTCAATCCTCTAAGTTTATATATTTAAACACTTTTTTTTTTATTAAAAAATAGTGAAAATCGATTATTTATCAATTACAATTCTATAATTGTATTCAGTTTTTATATTAAGAAAAACTTTACAAAAAACAAAATTAATACATACAATTTCACAAATACTTTTAAGGATTAAATAATTTTCTTTTTCAACAGAACTATTAGAAATTATTTCAAACCTTGTTTATCATGTTTTTTTCAAATTAAGCTCAATAACAGTAAATATAACTCAACATTTCATATTATTCAAAAGAGAAATCTCTAAAAAGATTCATTCAATTTTAGAAAGTCTTTTACGGATTTGTTTCATAATTATTAAAAATAAATTAAACTGAAATAACATGATATTAAATATTCGATTATCTTCTCTCTAAGATAAAAATTCTCGGATCTTTCAAATATTTGCAGACGCTTTATTTATAAGCAAACTTATGCAATGAATGAATAAACAAAATCTAGTAACAATTTATTTCATATTCTTTATGATTAATCAGAGAACAGAATTTAGATAATTTCTAAAATGATTTTATATACTTTTAGGGTGCTGATGTGAGTTTGGGGATGATGCGATTAAAGAAAACATTCGTACCCACATTCACACCCTAGAATCTAGTCAAAATCCATCATGATAATAGCAATAGAAGAACATTTCGCCGACTATCCTTTGACTGAGATTCATTCTCTTCAAAGTTTTAAAGCGATGATGATAAAATAATGCATTTAAAGTAACGCATTGTAATATACAAGGATAAGGACATGTACACATTTTTCAGATAAAAAAATTCTTGTTTTACTTAAATAGTGTTAAAATATAGATTCAAATGACGCTAATCTTACAACTGATGACAAGGAAGCGGCACGTTTGTATGATTGATCTATTGTATTCTATCATAACAGCTGTGACCAACTGGCCTTTTTCTATTAATTACGAGTATTCAAAGGTGTAGTTGATGCAAGGGGAAAGGCGGATTTGGGAGTTTTTTTGGAATTTTGAAAATCCCAAAATCCCAAAGTTCAAAACGTGAATGATGAAATTTCCATCTGAATTTTTTCCCATATGTAAGTCTCATGATCCTTAGAATATTTTAAAATTTTCAGCGCAAGCAGATGTTTCCTTCTCAAAATAATGAATGCACAAGAAATGCTCATTTCACGGCACGGTCAGAAAATCCAGTTTTTTTGAAAATTCAATATTTTAAGAAGGAAACCTTTGTTCGAGTTGAAACTTTCAGGATCTTCTATGGACCATGAAACCTATATATGGAAACAGGGTGCGGGTGTCGGTGTGGTGTGTATTACATTTAAGGAATGCTACGACTAGTTTCGACCTTTCTCAAGGGTCAATCTTCAGGTAGTTTAAGCACTGCATAATTTTATAGATTAAGATGAACATTTTTTTGGGAACTTCCCACGTTTAATTTATAAATTTAAGACAGAGTAGAGATTTCTTAATTATAATAGGATGCGTATTATATCTAAGGATAATAAAAGGTATTAGAGATTGAAAGCATCATACGACACGTTTCGACCTTGCTTAAGGGTCTATCATCAGGCATGTCTACAATCTATTACTACATAGATCCAAAACTCTCTAAATAAACGAAGAAGTTGAGGACAATTCGTAATAAGCAAAATCGAAACGCGTCGTGTGATACTTTCAATCTCTAATACCTTTTTATTATCTACAGATTGATTTCTGAGTAGACTGTAGTTATTATGTATTGATTCCAAAAAATTAATTTCCGATGTTTTTGAATCTTTTATACTAATAATCTTCATGCCGCTTGATAAGAATTGTTTTGACAACATCGAAATACCTGGTATTGTGGTAGCTATGTACACACCCACGCCTGCAGGATATACACTACTTTGTAATGTTATTTTTCTAAAACTCGCAGTCTCTCTCTCTCTCAGAGAAACTATTAGTCAATTTTCGATTAAACACGTTATATAAGTACAAGTCTAACAACAAAATGAGTAATACATTATAGATATTTCAGCACTATTGATTTATTTGTATACTAAAATTAAAACATTAAATATGACTTTGTATATGATAGTTGTAAAAGATATATTTTTACAAAGTTGCAAGCGGAAATTTGAATATCTCGTTTTCTGAGTTAGAATATCGTATTTGTAGCAGATCTTCCGAAGTTGGACATTGTGAATTCTTTTCAATGTATTGATTCCTAATTTCTGCCTGCATAATACATGCAGCATCATCTCAAAAAAAACTTATCAACTGAAGAATATCTCTCACGAATTCTAATATTGTCTACAAGATATCGAGAAAAATCAATATTTATTTTTCCTTCAATGTAATAATCAAGTGTATTTATTTTGATCAAATAAATTCTATGCCAATATAATCCGAAATTTAGGGCGGAAGTGTATTTTTTGTGAAGAATGGTGTATTCATGTAGGCACTCATTGTACTTGTCAATGTTTTTTTTTTCTATATAAACAATTGAAATTTCTTATTCTATATAATCAATCAAAATTCGATTGAAACTTACTTATAAACAATCGCAATCAAGGCAACTGTCATCATGTTCTATTTCTTCAGTTTATTAAACAAACAGCATCACTCTTTATTTTTATATTTTCCACCTGTCTCTGTCAATATGGTTCAATAACATACAGAAAAAACCAAAAAAAAAAAAGAAAGAAAGAAAATGTTGATCTTAATTATACGTGTTTATATTTTATTGTCAATATACGATTCGAACGAAAGACTGTTTACCAGTTGCGGTTTTTGATGGCTCACTGTTACCATAGTGAGAAGAAAAGTAGATTCGAATTCTTGTTTGATCTTCTTATAATTTAACAATGAGTATGTGTAAAATATGAAAAGCACAAGCATATTGAAAATAAGAAAGAGCCATCTAAGTGATGTGATTTTAGCGGAAGAAAAAAACGAAGAGAAAAAATTCAGAAAGAGAGATGTGTGTTTTCATTTTTGGATCTAGGACGGCAATTCAATATGATCATTGACCATAGCTGAATACAAATAAAAGTAAATTAATATATCAATAAATATATATAAGATAAAAAATTTACCGATGCCAATCACCAAATAGTGGTGGAGCTTGTTGTACTGGAGCTAAAACAATAGAAGCAATGTTTAATAAATTGAAGTGCTTTGTTCATATTTAAACTTACGTTTTCTTTGATCGCCAAATGTTGGCATGTATGAAGTCAATTTCGGACCGCGATCTATACAATATCACGATTACATATTTTTGAATAAAAGTAAAGATTCTCCAGTGTTGAGAATGATTATTTTTCTTTTCTCTCATGTGTTACTTTAGTCTAGTCTTTAGTTCTTAAAAGAATTCTATGGTATGATTTCATAGGCAGTAAAGAAGAACGGGTAATGTCTCAGTAAAAGCTAACCGAAGTTTTTTTGTTTCACAAAGGAATTAAAATCTGATTTCTATACTTCAACACTACTTATTTTAGAACATGCTTCATAATAAAATACATACTGGCTGAATTACTATTGTTCGAAACTTCTGAAAGCCAATTCGTACTATCTCGACGCACTGTTTGTCGTGGATTAATACCTAAATAGACAATGGCCATTAAAATTTGAATCTTAGTAAGAAGAAAAAAGAAATCATACCTGGTTTATACCTTGAATTTCCCAAATAATATTGCTTAGCAGACGGTTTCGATGTTGAAAATGGTGGTTTAGTTTCGTTTTGATCTCGATTATTATTATTTGTATTTGAAAAAAATTCATCTGGATTTAGACGCATTGGTGGTTTACTTATTACATTGGTCGGCATTTTTGATGGGTTTGTTTTTTTTGTTAAAACATCATCATTTAACCAATCTGACAAACTCTCTCTTCTTGGTGATGCAGAGAAATCTTTCATCGGTGGCAATGGAGGCATAAACTTCGACGGTTGTTGAGGTTGCATTGAGTGTCCTTTTAGTATAGCATCAAAATCGAATGATTGATCAACGGCTGCTTTAGATGGTTGCTTTAAATTTGATGAACGATTTTCAGGGTAATTACTTTGGCTTGGAAATAGAGAATTATTTCCTTTTCGATTGTCCGATGGTTTTATGTCAAATTTTGGTAATGGCGGTGCAGGTAATTTACTTTGTTGTTGAGGATTATCAAATGGAAATCCACTATTTGGTTTATTGAATTTTTGTGGTTGAGAATTAGCATTTTCCTTGACATTTGATTTACTTGATGGTTCAAATTCTTTAAGTAATTTATCTAAATCATGCATATCATCTGGACTACCGGGAGTTTTGTCCTAGAAAAAATAAAATTATTTTGTATTTCAGGTTTGTTTTGTATTTAAAACAAATTCAATTACTCCATCAGTTTGCCAGTCATCTCTAAAAATTTGTTTGGATTCTCGTGATTGAGCTGATGTTGGTTCATTGATGGCCGAGACATTTGAACTTGATGTTCCCATAAAATCTTGACTTACTTTAAAGTATGAATGTTTTAAGCACTAAAATAATCGAGATCGTGACAAATCTCAAATTAGTACTAGTTTTCACGAAATATCTGATCGCTGATATCAGATTTTTCCAAAAGAAATCAGATATTTACTTTCTACCCTACCGATTGTTTAAAATTCTCTGTAGATGCCAAATATACGCTGTGATTGTGAAATTTAGAATTATGATCTCCGAGTCGTATATCAGTTGTTCCGCTGTGTGCTCGGTTATCAATTTCTTGTGAGATCGCATAGGTAACATAGTGTAACTTCGATTATAAAATCAAAAAGTTTGATGAGAAAGTCGCGTACGAGAAATTTAGTTGTGTGCACATTTAGAAATCGCTCCAGGTGAATCGAATAAGATTTATTCGGTTTTTAGTGCATTTTTGCGTCAAGAGCAGAAAAATGAAGGTGAGCGCAAAGTTTTCTTTAGATTAAATCTCTTTTTAACTGCTGACTCAAAACTTTGTATGAAATAGTTATACTGAAAGAATATTTGACATAAGACTCTAAAAGCTGCTTCTGGTTTCATATCTTCATCGTCACTAATGCTCATTGTTCCTTTTGTTAATATTCTCCATTATGCTAGAAATCTAGAACACATTATAACTTTATTGTTCGTGATATTGTTGCTCTCAAGTTGCAGAATTTCGCATTGTAAATCTAATTGAAGAACTGTAAGGACAGAGAGAACGCTATCAGAATATAGCATAGAGTAAAAGTATATGACTCATGTTGGTACAAAATGGTTGTTCGCTATATGATGTAGATAACGCGTTATCAAAACATCGGCATTTAAACTAAGAGAAAAAATTAATTAAATGTTAGCAAACAAATACGATGTGTATTCACCACTATATATGGCATCATATATTTTTTGCTTTGAAAAGTTTTATCCTTCTTTATTAAAGAAAAAGTTAACTCTTATATACGGAGAAGATAAAACCTTCTAGGTTTATTCGTACATGCGTAGTACAACACAGATGGGGAGAAAAACGATGATAATATCGCGTTTGTTTCGATCTTGATAAAAACCAAAATTTAAACCAATTGATTAAAGAATAAGAAAAAGAAATAACGAAAGAGTAAAGAAGGAAAAAATCATGGGCGATATAACAGAAAACAATAAAGAAAGTATCATGTCAGATATAGTAGCGAAGGAACATCTTATTTGTTCACTAACATTAAAGCAACAGTTTCGTGAAAAATTAACAGATTTTATGTTTTTACAGAATTAACTATTAGAAACAATACTGATCGGATGTGTCATGTTTTTCAAATTGGTTATCATGTTTCGTGTATAATCGACTCAAGTATATTATGCTTTTCTCATGCTGCATTTTCTCTCATCGCATATACTTGTACGCTGAAGCACGTTTCTTTCAAAATAGTGAATAATGAACAGCAGAAGCTATTGGAACATACGCATCTGTGTATAATACTCTAAGATGTAAATGTCAGATTAACATATAGAACAAATTAAGAATGTATTTCTTACTGCAATTGAATTATTGATTATTGAAAGTTAAGCAAAAATGCAGAAACAATATTCCGTTTCAGATTCTTTTTTTTGGTGGCACAGCGCTCAGTACGTTCTGTTCTCGTTTTCACTTATTCTATATTATTCAGTACGTTTCCTCATGATTTTCTTATTCAAGAATCTCCAGAAAGTTATGCGCATGGCAGAAAAAATATTCGATTCTGAGAGTATTATTATTACTCAAAACTACCCTTTGGTTTTACATAAGTTCTTTTATCGTATTGGCAAGTCTCAAGATTTCATCATCCTTAACGAATTACTTTCTTGCACCACATTCGCAAGCACCTCATACACAAGCGAAAAGATGCTCGTCTAGAGTTCTCTTTGTAATTAGATAATGTTCTTCAGTATGTTCTCTTTCATCTCATACATGCTAGTAACGCTTGGCGGTGCATCTCGTTCAACTCTCGACTGTATCTGGTCCACACGACATAAGAAAATGCAGAAAACTAAACTTTTTGGGGTTGATGAAAGTACAACCTATAATCAATCATTTTTATCGTATGTAAACATTTTCATCAAATCTTAAAGGATTTATTATTTTAGAAGTTTGTTTATACTGTAGTCATACTTTGCCATTGCTTCTTGCATTCCATGTTGAGAACTGTGCGAGAAAGTTCATGCATCGAGCGAACTACTACAGAATATAGTTAGTAATTACTACTCTATAGCTTGACAAGACCTTATTGTTTTCGTTTATGATACAATAAGGTAAAGTTCAACATCCAGGTCGAACTCGTACGGCGGGAAACTACAGGAAAACACCGGAAATCACTGAAACGTGGAAGCAGTATTCCGACCAAAAAATTTCCTGTAAATTCCCAGCGATTTCCTGTGTTTTCCTGCAGGATACGGTGGTTTTCCCCTCATTTTTCTGCCGGTCCCCGCAGTATCCGCTCTCCGGAATCATTGACCTGGGTGCAGACGCGCATCTGTTGTCCTTTGCCTGTCCCTCTGACCGCTACTTCTTATCACCCCTCTTCCACATGATCACGCTATAAAATTTATATGTACTGCATCATCATGCGCCGATCACCTTTCAATGATATCGAAGATATTTGTGATTATCTTCGTAGCATACACATGTTGGCTATCAAGTTGNTGGGCAGCTCATCTTTTAAATACGTTAGTTTCTCGATGAGAGTGATCATTTCCCCGGAACAAGGTCAATTTTACTGCTTAACAGTTCACAACCTTCCATTGTAAGAGGAAATGCTTTGAGCAACTATCACGCATCGGAGGGAAATATTTATGACCAACTAACTCTGATTACGTAGAGAATAGGAATATATTAGATAGACGTTGTAACGTATGTGGTAGTGTACACTCGTTACTAACATCGGTAATAGTTAAAACATACCATATAGTCGTAACTATGGATTATAGTAATAAAAACGACAGATTTTGAAGATTAATTAGATACTAAATCCTAATTATAATGATATATAATTAGTGAAACTGGATTTTAATTACTGATATGAGTAGTGGTGAACACAGGTAATTGATCTGTACCAAAATTTTATCTAATTAGTGCACCTAAAATGTTACTCTTTTCATGTTTCATGTCTGTAATGGGGAGGGAGTACAGGAGAGCTGCAAAAACCTTACATTTCAACTTACACTTACTATTTTCTTCGAAAATATGTGTACGTTCCACCAAACAGAAATGTAAGAATCGATCTAAAGTAATTCAGCAGCGTTGATTACTAACCAACGGTCAGTAACACTCTGACAAAACTCTAAAGAAGGGTGTTCACTATAGAGAGAGGTTCAATTCTAGCTAAAATCACAACACGGAACTGGGGAAAACCGTCCACTGTACGGAGGTGTCCACTATGGAATGTTTTACTGTAGTAGTTTTACCGGGTCATTTTCAAAAGAGGTACTTTTTAGTAAAGATCTCCTGTATTTTGGTGAGTACAGTTATTAGAAATATTTTATGATTATCTAATTATTCCACAGCTACTTGAAGTTTTCTGTGGATACTTGGGACTTCGTGTAAAAGAATAAAATTCAAATATTCATGATCCGAATCACGTTCTAATGATTTAATCTGAGTAAAGGGCCTGTTAAAAAAGTGAAAACAAATTCACAATTACAATCTTTATTGTGTTTGTGAAAAAGAAAATCGTTTTTTTAATTAATATAAAACAAACAAGGGGTTAGCAAAAACAAATTTCAAGTATTCATAATTGAAGCAGTGTTGTAGTTTTGTTAGAATGTATTATATTAAGTGAAGAGAAAATATTAGATATTTGACGCTGGATGCTGCAATTAATCGAGACGACAGTAGATACTTGATTCTAATCTTGTGATTAGTTTCAGTAGAGATGGTAGATAAATATCTGATATCTGTTATCTTATGATAGTTTGAAATTATAGGGTACTAGCTTCTAATGGAATTCGTTATTTTTATCGATTTCAGATTCGCATAATTTTTCATCTTTTGCGCTTTGAAAATTTGAAATTGAGAAAATTTTGACTCGCGTATTCTAAAATTAGTAACAGCTTAAGATTTGACACTGTATGAAGTAATCAAAATTGTTCGCATAATTTTTCAAAGAACAGAAATATTCAATACGATTGAATTGAGAGTTTCAGTTACGATAAGATTATTCGAGTTGGTCTATTTTGGAACATATGTGTCGGTCAATCAACTGTTTGTAGATAATTGAGAAAATGATACTTCAGTTTCAGAGTTTGAACATAGAATATTAAAGTTTTACGATATCTCGTCAACTCTAGTCTAATTTTTTAGAGCTTCCCAAATATTTGACGAACAGACACATCATGGTTATTCCTAAATCAATGATTTACTCCACATCCATAGTACTAGAGTATGTATGAAAACGAGTGTTATTTATGTGAGTTCTCTAATTTTTACAAAACTCTAGAGTAAAATAAATTTCACTTTACTTGTACAGCAGTTGGTCGTCGTTTGGGCTCCCAAAAAAGCGTTGCTCCGATAAGATCTATTCCATCATTATTGGAACTATGAATAATTTTTTTCAAATCTGTTTTGGCACATTGTGGCCAACGAAATGATAGTTTCGCTGCTAACATATAACCTTCAGGCCATTCATCCTAGAAGAAAAAAACTATGTATATAAAACAAATTAGATTTAATAGAAAGAAAGTCACTCTATTTGGTGTTCCCATAACAGCACAAATTTTAAACATTTGATCTATTTCACTACTGCCAGGAAATAATGGTCTTAATGTATATAATTCAGCAGCGATGCAACCAACTAAAGTAATTGCTTTTAATTGAAAATGTTATGATAAACATTTCACCTTACCTGCCCATATATCAATAGGAGATGTGTATGATGTAGAACGCAGTAATACCTCGGGAGCACGATACCATCTGGTAGATACACTACATGTAAAACATAGATTTATAGTTTTTTGTTTAAATTGAATGTTACTTACTAATCAGTATAAGGTGGTCTTGAGCGAAGCTCACGAGCTAGACCAAAATCAGCTATTTTAATTAATTCAACACCTTTGCACAAGATATTTTCAGGTTTCAAATCACGATGAAAAAATCCTAAAAGATATTTAAACAAAAATGAAATATTGCTTGAAAATATAACAGCCAAGAATAAAATTTGAAACTAGCACTCAACACAGAACTGCTAAGTTTTCTTTTCGATGTCTTAATTGTAAGAAACCTTATAGATGATGTTGATTTTTCATAAATATAATATTAATGTGAAATAAAAATAGAAATACCGATGATTAAAACAGTTAGACTAAGAATTTGACAGTATTCGATGAACAATTTTATAATAAATGAAAAATCATTCATATTTCATCTTCATATAAAATTGATTATAATAGGCACAAAGTGACTTTCGAATCTAATCAAAATCTATATGTTGATCAAAAATTATTGTTATACAATTTATTCTCTTGAATAAGAACGTAATTTATAACAACATGTATGAAAGCTCTTCAGTCAATTCACAAGTATCTCACTCATCGATGTTGAACTACTCCGATTGTCTTACATAACAGCTTAGTGTGATAGCAACGATGAAGTTTACACGTCCGTAAGATATGAATCGGTAATATATTCATTCGGGGAAAAAAATACAGAGTTGACGATGATAAAATATGTTTTTTTTAACAGTATAATTTTTAATGCTTTGATAACAAAACAAAAGCAGGTGGCCTACAAATGTTTAACATGAGCTCAAATTAATAGATTAACTTATCGGCAAGAGACTTCGTAGTGTGTAGGTAGTTTGAGCTCAGTTTATTTACTAGGGTAACATTGCGTTATTCAACATCCATAAGTTTAGCCGATTTATTTTTGCAAGACTTTCTCTACTCCAGGTCGGCCGAACATGAGTATTTTTTGATTTTTCAATACAAAAATATAGTTCAAGGTTATTGGTGATTATTCTAACTTATTCAGAGTTATGAAGAAGACTCTTCGGTTGAAACATAATCATAAATATCTCTAAAATTCTCTCGAATATAAATTTAAAAATCTCTTACCTAGTTTATGCATGTAAGCTAATCCTTGAAGAAGCTGAAAAATAACATTACGAACATTGGTTTCAGGAAATAGTCGATCTCTATAAAAAAAAGAAATTCTATAAATTTAATAATAAATCCAATAAAAATAGTTACCGCTTTTTCATTAATTCATAAAGATTTTCATTCATGTACTAATGAAAATAAAATAATTTATGATACGAAATTCCATGTAAAAAACAATTTACTTCAAAAACCATATATAAATTATTGTCTTCTCGAATAACTTCTTTTAATTTAATAATATTCGGATTACGAATTTTTTGCAAAGCCTATTACAGAACAAAAAAACAAATTCTTTAATTTTTAATAAATAATCAAATTCATTTTTTACTTTAACTTCTCGCAAGTCCATGCATTCTTGCCATGAATCTGCAAATTAACATAAAAAATTTTCTCAGATAAAATTGCTTGTCAACTTACAATATTTCTTTTTCATTCTAAAAGCAAAATAACATAAGTATAATTAGATATGTTTTTGTTCTTTTTTTTACCGTTTTATAGCAACTTTTTCTTGTGGGGAATCTTTAACTTGACCAAGTAATACACTTCCATATGTACCATCACCAAGTTGCTTAACTATTTTATATTTTTCCATTAGCAAACAATATTTATAATACTAAACTTTTTGTTTAAAAAAATAGAAAAGATTCTCTAGATAAATAATCAAAACTATCATATATCAGTTCATGCAAGAATGGTCTTTTCATCTGAAACAGAAAAAAAAACAGAATAAATCACATTAATAAAATAGAAATTACTGTGTACATTGATCTGGCTTTCTAAACTATCTGTCATAAACTGAAGACAACTTCATTAGTGATGTCGTTACCTAAACTCTACCTTTCTGGCTATTGAACTCTAAAGAAATACAAAATATAAAATAATCGTTTACACGCCGACGTACGACATCTGTAGGATTAACATCAGCAAGTATGCATGTTAGAAAAAGAACGATGGCAGTTTTATTTCGTATTATCTTTGTTTTGAAATACAATACTTAACAAATAACAAGCATATATAGCTTTACAATTTGTAAGCAAGAAACATATTCTTTGAAAAGTTATTGGTATATATTGACACTTAAATATTGATTTCGGTAAATACAGAAACTTGTTAAGTTTTTCTAAAAATTGTGAGTTGACGCTAAAGTATTTATTTTGAACAAAAACAATAACAACATCACAACAACTTTAGTACTCTTTAATGTATGTTATCAATTAAACGAATTAATATCTGGAGTATCACTCATTTTTACATACACTAAGAGCATGGCATGAGAAACTTTCTTCAACAGAATGAATCATTCACTTCTAGCAAAAGATTGCACTCATCACCCACAGAATGATGATTTTCAATATTCATTTGAAATATTGCACCGGATTCTGAACATAATATTGAGAGTACACTGTATGATGAGTATAATGCAAATAGATAAATGGCTTGATGAAAAAAAAGCATAAATTTCATTGGATGCTGATCTAATTTTCTGTATATATAAAATCATAGTTCAAAATAAATCTCAAAATAAGATGCTATACAAAATCTAGAAGTCTCAAAGTTTTCCTAAAATTCCTTAGAACATATATACATTGTACCAAAGTGCTTGATCTCGCCATTCTAGTAACATTCATAAAAAATACAGTTCATTGAACCGTACACTAATGCGATCGAGTTAAAAGAATAGAGTGTCACATCATGTTATAAATATGCTACTTAATATTTCGTCATGTTGTTAAAACTTATTTTTGAATTTAAAACGATAAATGTGTACAGTGAAAGAACTATTCTTTCTGGCATACATGATCATCACAAATGAGTTAGACGGTATTAAATATCGATCCAATATAGATTGTCAGATATCAATCATGTCAAAATCCAATTCGAATGGATCTTAATTTTTAAAGTATTAAAATTTTTATGAATATTCCCTATTCTTTCAATTGATTATAAGATTCCTGATAGATATTCTTTACCATATTTAATGTAACTATCTATTTAATCTAATATTATAGAAATACACAAGAGTTTTCTTGTTGGCATACTTGGAAAATTGGATTTTGAAGTAGTTCTTAAGTGTCTAGTGCTTATATATTTTCTACAATATTATCAGTTATTGTTTTTCAATAATAGCAAATAAATTTCTAACCAAAATAGATAAGAAACTCTTCAGACAACAAAATAATATTCTACAAAAAAAAATATATATATATATTATTTTTTGTAGAATATTATTCATGATCAATACTATCTACTGCGTCGTTCTTTTCGGTGTCATGGACAATAAACAAATTTATTCTTTGTAACAAGAAAAAGAAAAGTATGACATTGTTGATCGATGAGTTTTTAATTTCTATTTAATGTACAATTTTAAAGTCATTCAATTTTCTCTATTTAATTCTAGTATGTGCTCGTTTCTTTGTTATGCTCTATTGAAAATGCAAGTCATGTGGTCAACATCCTGTCCTATTCACTTGTCAATCTTTCTATCAGTTCATTCGTACGTGTTTATTGACAAAACATAGAACAGACGGTCACTTTTCTTTTCTTGCTTTTACACTATCTATTCGGTCAAGTATTTCACAAAAGATAGTCTTCGTTCATTTAATAGATGCTTTTTGTAGCCGGAAGCTTTCTCTTTTTTTTTGACTGATGATAGCAAGTTACCGACCAGCATAACGAATTTATGCTTATCATACTTAATCGCATGATTAAATATGCATGAGAAATTTAACAAAGATTTCTGAAAAATAGAATAATTTATAGAAGCAAAAAGAAAAACCTAATTATAATAAAGAAAAGCGAAGAAAAGTCAACTCATTCATGAAAACAAAAGCAATGATTAAATGATTTAAAATTACATTTGAATGATCATTTCTTAAGATGAAAAATAAAACAGAATAGAGAGAGGGCGTTTTCTCATCAAATTAGCATCTATTTCTTCCATATTTTAATAAAGATCAGGACGGTTCAGTCTCTTAAGTATATTCTTCTCTCGTCATATGCACTTGTACAAAAAAAAATGTAGAGAGGCTACTTCGACATTGTTCTGAATACTTAGAGTGTTCGTCAAGCGATTACCTTTTCAATACATGAATTTATGCTCGCGTCTCTCACCCTCGAATTCTCACTAGAGGGAGTTTTTATTCTTATTAATGAATGAAAATCTTTCACACAAGAGAAAAGAAACACAAATGATGACAATCATTGAGACAGGCGGTAGGTGTTCAAACGCGAACATGTGTCACCATATCTGTCTGATACATGAACACGCAAAGGCAACAACAAAAACAGCCATAATCATAATAATACATGAAAAGAAAAGAAGAACTTCAATGAATGTTAATTGTTAAGTTTACTGCACTATTAAATAAGCCATGATATTAATGAACGTTTTCGATGACATAAGCGCTCAACAAACAAAACATGAATTTTTTTTATGCATATTATTGTTCATTTAATTCAATATGCCCAAAGGGCATACATACATTATTCGATCTACTTGAACATCCATTTGGGGTACAGAGAGATCCTTGAAAGAATGATCAATTACTAATTCGACCAGTGCATTACTTTAGATGTTTATTTGTCATTAGAGACTTGTTTTTTTTTTCTCAAGACATCTATACACAGTATTATATAAGATTAAAGAAAAACAATGTAGCTAAGTGTAATGATGCACAAAATAAAATTGACATAGTATTCTTTTATTTTTGATCAATGTGTGAAAGTTGTCTTGAACTTATCAGCCAGTGATCAACTTGAGACTCGTTTAATGCTTGAGTAGTTGTTTTTGAAATTAAAACTAACAACAATAAACTATGTACGTATGTTGTAGGTCGCGTTTCTCTATCGATGTCGATTGAGAATGAATATAATTATTATTCGATAGATAGCATTGAAAAGAAAAGAGAGGTTTTTTTTCTCGTGTTTCTAAATCAAGTCTCATTACTGAGAATAAAAATAATATCCCACAGAGATTTTTAATTACAGAAAAATAAAATAAATTATTTTATTTTATTGTTTTTACATTTGCAAATCCTCGATGTTCACATCTGTATTGTTGACCATCAATTGACACGTGTGTATACTGGATAAGAAGGGGAACGATGAGAATCATAGAAAAAGAAACGTATCGTTTTTCTTCTCTCTCTCTCTCTCTCTCTCGTTCAATCAACACGAGCAATGCTCAATAGAGAAACAGAGAGAAAAAATAAACCCATAATTCACAAGAATCAATCGACTACTATACAGTTGTACTTCAATTTTGTCACCCTAAGAAATTACAACATATAACTATTATCGAGTAAGTTTTAAAGCTCATCATCGATGTGATGTGTGCGTGCAAATGTTCATGTGTCAGATTGTCTCTTTCTTTTTTTTCTTCTTTTTTTTTTAATCAATCTCTCATCATCATTTGATAACAGTAATAATAGAAAAAAAACTGATTGCATCATAAAATGACTAGTGGGCACCAGAAGGTTGAATTTTTGTGATCTACTTTTCACATGTGCATTTATCTAGTTTTCTGGTTTATATCTGAAGGTTAGAACGAAGGTGAAAAGATTGACTGGTCGGTCATTAGAAGAAGGGTGTTTGTATGTATACATAAATGACCTTTTCCAGTTCTCGCTATATATGTATATTGTTCCTCTTCCGTTTTCGTCTTTCTAAATAATCCCTTAGGAAAAATATATTCTATCAAATTGAACACTCATCAATTTAGCTCAGAAATTTGCAAGTATACATTTATATGATAGCCAGATCATCATCATCATCATCGTCGACGACGACAAGAAAAAAATAACAATAGATATGAAGTTCATTAATGATCTTGCTAGTTTGCATCACATGAAATACGGCCATCAGTGAACTATTTTAGCAAGGCAAAGCAAAATAAAATGAAATATTTGTATTTAATCTTTATATCATGATGATCATGATCATCAATGATATTATAGAATACATATTTCTATTGTAGTATATGTCAAACATTCATTCAGAAATAGACTAGTACCTATCAGTAATGATTAGATAGTTAGAATGTTACACTTGATGTGTGCACTTCTTTTTCTTTTTTTTTTTGTTCTTCTGCTCCATCATCAGAAACAAAACAACAACAACAAACTATCACTCGACGCGCTAATCGGTTTTCGATGACATATAGATGATATTATAAGACATAGACAGACAGTAGCTAGTCAATCGGTAATCTTTTACGATTAATCCAATCGGGTGCCGCAAGGGTCAGACGAACACACGCTCAATTGCATAAGACAATACAGAAGATGCATACTGGCTTAGTTTCCTTTTGTTCATCACAAAAATAATATGTACAGTTGTCAATCAAATAATAGAAAATAATTAGGAAACAATTAGATGCTTCTCTTTAGTATTTATGTAAGTAGGAAAACTTAGTTTAATTTTAATTGAATGATCTGAATGAAATAATTTCTTTTCTATTGTCGACGTTGATAACCGTTAGAATAGGAAAAAATTCTATTGTAACGTGATCGATTATATCTGTTTTTGCTAAATTATTTTTTTATTGTTGCTCATTATCTTCTGCCAGTACACTCGTTTACTTTACTGATTGTCGGCAAAGTGTCTTTAGATTTCAGCATCTTATCTAGAAAAAATAAGTGAAGAATTTTCATATCTTTTTTTTTCTTTTTGATAACAATCTGCTCTCGTAGTGAACGTTTGAAACTATGTGAAATTGATATCATTGATATACAGATGTTCATTGTCGCGGTCTGATTATTTAACTGGCACTACTCGTTTTACTACATATTATGGGACAATGCCACTTTTCCTTGTCTTAATCGAATCAAATATCAAATCAAATAGTTTGAACTGGAGAAACTTCTATAACGGTTTATTTTATTTTCTTCGTCTTCTTCTCTTATTGATAGTATTCATCGATAGAAAACGAACGGATCTCATCAGTCGTATATATATATATATATATATACTTATTCATTCATTCATTTGTTCATTCATCGGATGGAAGAACAATGAATGAACGGCATTCGATTTGACGTGTGTGTACAATCTAAGCATACTTATCGCGTTCTTTTCTTCTATTACCATCATTGGATTCATTAACTTGCACGAACTCTTGAGAAAAAGTAAGTTCATAAAAAGTAATAGAAAAAATTTATATTAGTTAGATTTTCTTCCGTTTAACCATTAAGTTCTACGTTTTGTAATCAACTTGATAACATTATATTACTCGGTTACCTATACGTCTCAAGTAGTGACTATATGTTAATCAATGAATAAGCATATATGTGACGCAAAAATTAAAAAAAAGCATTGAACATGTCGATTAGTTCATAGATGAAGAGTTAAATCTTATCCTATTGTTGTTCGTTATTTGTCTGGAGTCGTCATTAGAAGATTATATAAGCAAATAAAATATATAGAGAGAAAAAAGTGTAGAGTTGACACTTGTAAGACATCTACGTCGGGCCAAACAAAATGATAAGAACAATTGAGACGAAGGCAAACGTCGACATATCAACAATAGATCACCATTATCATTTTAAATATATTCGATCTATACATTGGTATGGGTTAAAGTCGAGGTCTTTTTCTTTTTTTTTTGTATTTTATAAGTGTCAGTTTACATTCCATATGCATCGAAAGTAAGTTTGTTTACTTTTCGATTCTAGCTATATGATCAAAAAGGAAAATGCTAAATTGATTTAGCTTTTGAGTTATCCATAAGGGAAGATTTAGATATCGAATGTATTTCAAAGGAAGTTTGTCTATGTGCTTATTTATCTATTGACAAAATAGATAAATATAGTTGAGTAATCAAATGCACACACATATATATATATATATACACATCTGTTTCTAACGCCGAACACAACTCTTTTTTTTTTGATATAAATATGTAGAAAACAAATATTAGAGGACAGTTGAAAATGACAAAAAACATTTTGTCATTTCTTATGTTCTTGAGGCAAAAAGAAATATTTGATGGGCAACAGATCGTTTAAGCAAGTTGTTGAATCGGTGTTAATTAGTATCTTTAGTGTGCAACTTATTTTTGTTTTGAAAGTATGTTATAGTAAGAGAACGTGCTTAGAATCATAATGAGCAGATGATCATAAGTATGTATATATATATATACATATATTTATATATACAATTAGAAGAAACTAGTCTCCAAGTATGAAGGTTATTCATTCTTTATTGTACCTTCAAATCTCATTTAATGAGCCTTTTGCTGTTTCACACGTCATCAAAAAATCTATAATGGTTGCAAACTATAGAGGCAATTGATAATGAGACAATATTCGTCGTCTGAACGAATATTGCACATAAGAAAGGACAATTGTCGACCTCCTATGTCTCCCCTTTTTTAACGGGTGCTATTAGTGAGTGAAATATAAAAAAATAATAATTAAAACTTATAACAATGACAGAAGAAAGAAAACTTGAAAGCAAAGTAGTCCCATAGTCGATACAGATTGTGCGTAACATTGACAAAGAAATAGGTAACATATGTATATATAAAATAGTGAACGATAGACATTAAACACATTGAACGATCTTGCAGAAAGAAGGGAGGAAAAAAGCTATGCTCATGAGTGAAGACGTATAATAATAGTTGATGAAAAACCTATTAAAATCAAGGACTATGTCGAACGAAAAGAAAAGAAAAAGCAACGACGAATAGTAGTTGACCGACCAGGTGGGTTATTGATTATTCTCCTATTTCGAAGACATGAAGATGACGCGTATATGTACTATAATTTTCTATCTTATTGCTTTGTTTTGTTTCTATATCGTCTTATTAAAACGAAACTGACCGACTTTATTTTATTTTCTATATCTGTAAGTATCCGATGACTTACAAGTCTGGACAATGTGGGATTAAAGACTTAATTCGATTAGAATAGAGCCATTGGTTATTCATCTTCTCACATTGCGTCTCTATTGGAAAAATCTACATTTGACTAGACATTAGAGTCGTGTGTGAATGCATGTTAATTTCTATTACCATGATTATTAAAAGGAAATGAAAAGAAATGAATGAATGGCTAACACCATTTGCAGTTCTCACTCGCATACACACATACACACACATCTATATATATATATTTTTTCATATATAAACATAGATCATTATATGTCATCATTAACGGAAATGACTTCTTCTATTGAATGACAATAGAGGTAAGTAAAAAGTATGCATCTATGAAAGGAAACATCCGTTTCGAATTAATTCACTAGACGCATGTAGTGATAATGAAAACTGTATTATTTCTCTTGAGTACAATTATTGTCGAGTTCGATTAACATGATGCAACCTTTACTTAAAATGGCCACTCTAGTTATTCACATTCCTCTACATGGCAGGTACTTCTCAGTGATTGACTATGAGTGGTCTTCGTCTATATACTTGTGTATAACAGCAGGAGAGAAAGACAATACACGTAAATATTTGACGTTAACAATCTCCTTGTGAGTTACAATACGAAAGAGAAAAGGAGAACCTTCAGCATTGATTAACTCAAAATCACCCTTTTGTTACGTTCTAATCTTTAGACAATAACAAGATGACGAATTGTAATTGGACAAATTTCGACAAAAATCGAGGTCGTTTGCATTTGTATTTGTCGTATAATTTTTTGTTTAAAATCGACTGCTGTCAATCATATGACAGTGTCTACTCGTAACGGCTCAGTAGTTAGAAATCGAAACAGTATATTATATAAAGAAAACCAGAAATCGAACACCTGCTAAGTAGAACAACAATAATAACAGTGATCAGCAATCTTCTCTTCGTCTTCATCTTCACTTTCTCTGTTGAATCGGACGCCATCAACATCAAGATGAATTTAGTTGATTTCCAGCTGTTCCTTCTTCTTCTTCCTCTTCGTTTTCCCCCGAGAAAGAATAAAGATGCTTCTTCTTCTGCTTCTTCTCCAATTTCTACACACGTAATGACATTCGGAATGTATATGTATATCTTCTCGCACTCTTTCCGTTTTTCACACTAAAGTGCCATCATTAGTCGACACATTCTTCTACAGAAGAATATAAGAAAATCGCTTGACCACTAGTGTGAAGATGTCATTCACAAAGATTTATCTATCATTCATTCATTCATTTTCTTACTTGCCAAAAAATATATAATTGACAGCTTTCTTCTTCTTCTTCTTCTTCTTCTACGTATTAATTAGTAAGGAAAACAGTGTATTTTCGTCTCAATGAATTTATGCTTATCTATCAAACTGCATATATGATGTAATCATTTGCTGACCGATTATTCACTTTGATGGACATCGCACATTCATTCACGCGCGTCTCCTTAGTTATATAGCCACAGAATGAATTATTTATTATCGCTCTAATTGAATATAATCACAACTTGCGCATGCATCTAGAATTTAACCAAGGTACTGTCATTTTATATTTCCACAACAATCGTTCTGTGACGAGCCTCATGAGAATCGAGTAATAAGATCAGTAATAAGTGTTCGGTCTTGTCGCCAAGACTTCGAGTGTCAAAATCCATCTATCTTTAATACAAATAAGCACTCTTAACAACGATGACTTATTTCATAATCACTAGCGAATACGTAACTCTGATACAAAGAAGAAAAAAACGAGAAAACGAGCGCGGTGAAGAAGGAAGAGAGAGAGAGGGAAAGAAATGAACAGAACATGACAAGATTAATTATATTACTACAAACATCCGTATCGAGAGAGAAAAAGAAGTTGAGACCTTGATCAATCAGAATATTTCTAGTTTTGATTATCTATATATTTCGATGAATTTTAGATAATCATGTTTATTCGATATGTTTATTATACATTAATTTTAACTTTTATCAAACAAATCTTTTCCTGTCCTATACCATTTAATATTCAATCAAAATGTCGCTGTGCTATTACTGAAACAGGCCGTGTTTATATTTATTGTGCCAGAAAACAATTAACAGTAGTACCTAATTTTGATAACAGTAAGTTAATAATAATAATAATTATTGTTATTATGAAATTTATTGGCCTATTTTTTTTTCTTCTTCTTCTTCTTTTCTTAAGGCAATATCATTTTTGATGAACTTGTTTTATCCGGTAATCGAATATCTATTGTACAAAAAAATGCATTTAGTGGTTTAAAATTACGTAAACTTGAATTACAATCGAACCCATTAGAAACAATTGAGAACAACGCATTTATTGATTTAGCTAATTATTTAGAAGAGTTTATTCTATCAACAACTGTTATTACATCACAATTAACAACTCGTACATTTCTACAAATACTTTCTGAACTACCCAATCTAAAACGTTTATCATTACGTTTATTCAATTTATCGAATTCATTAAACATTGCAAACAATACAAATTTAATATTAAGAAAATTAACTCAACTCTCTTTGCAATCATGTTTACTTACGGAAATTAACGATATAGAAATATTTGCTAATTTATTTCCAAATTTAGAACGATTAGATTTATCCGAAAATCGTTTAGAATATTTCAATATTCCATTGATATCATCGTTGAAAAAATTAAAAGTTTTTATATTAAGCAAAAATAAAATTCGTCATTTAAATATTCATCCATCATTATCAACAATGACTCTTAATCCATCAAATTCATTAATTGAACTTGATCTATCATATAATGGTTAGTATAAACTTAAAAATTGAATACTAAAAAACAAAAAGCGATATATATTTTTGAGTCACATATTATTACGTTGATAACTAGAGATCACAAACTAAACTATAAAAGGTAAACATATTTTCTAAGATAGAAAGTAGTATAAAATTAGTTCAAGATCTTTTTAAGCCTAACGTCTGATTTTCTGTTAATATCTTGGATGAAAGTCATAAAAATATGATTAATCATCGAATGACAATTTACTTATGCCAATCTACATTCATGTTTCATGCAATTTTGTAAGACAACATGCAAAAAAACTTGGAATGTATCAATAATATGCCATACTCGAAAATTTACTGAATTTCTTTTTAAACAAAATAATTACGGGTTTTCTCATGTTGGAATCCAGATAGAAGATTATTTCATAGGATGATCAATCTTAGACCCCAATAGTTTTGACAATAATCTGTTAAAGCTCTGTCGTCCGCGGGGAGTTCAGTCTTTCGTATTGGAATAGACTCGATCGTTGCTTCTAATCATTCTCGAGACAGACTCCTCCAAGAATGCGCATGTGACTTGAGAAACGTTGATTGAATGTTGTTGTAAAATAGACCTTGACTATACTATCAGATGTTTTCATCTCATTGATTTCAATGTCGAAAAAATAGTAATAAGATTTCAAGAAGAGAGTAGTGATCTCATCGGTTTTTATCGTTTTAGACATATATTTGTTAAATTAACGTTGTTTACTAGGCATCTATTTCTTGCTATCGAAGAAGATCCTGTTAGTTAATGTCCTCCGACTTTAATCTGATGTGAGCATGTATTTATGTACGGATATCCGATAAGTATATCGTAGAAATGATTCTAAGTAGTCTTATGAGAAATTCTCATCCTCGAGTGCAATTTTTGCAGTATTTACCTAGTTCAGAATACTTCAGGTATACAGGAAGGTTTTCAAGAAACTGATAGGATCTATTTATTTATATTGATATAGCTACCAAGTATCTAGAAGTAGTTTTGTCTATGATTATCTCTATAGTAGTATTGAAATTATCATAATACTAATTACAGTATCACAGATAGAGTCAATATTATTAGTAATGCATGAAACTTATTTATGGATTTGTTCCAAAACGATCAGATGCAATTATAGATTGTCCACTCTCAAAGAACTGATAAGAACATCCTGTTATTTTATTTCTTCATATAGGTATTGAAACAATCAATGAAAATATATTTGAACTAGTCTCATCTCAACTTGAAATATTAAATTTACGAAACAATGAACTATTAACGGAAAAACAGCTAACATTTTTAATTCATTTAAAACGCTTACGTGAATTTTATTTGGATTATAACCGGTTGGAATCAATAAATCAAGTAAATTTTCCAGCAAGTCTAAAAATATTATCATTGAAAAATAATCATTTAAATCAAATTGATTTTTCAATCTTAATGCATCTTGAGTATTTGGAAAAATTATTTTTATCATCCAATAAATTAACAAAATTATCCTTGAAAATAAAAAATCTTTTTCCATCATTAGAAATTTTCGAACTTGATCGCAATCATTTATCTTTTATTTCGTCTATAAATGCACCAAAATTAAAACAATTAAATTTAGATGGAAATTATTTAGGAGGAAAAATTGACAAAAAAATCTTTTCAAATTTACCATCACTTGAAAAAGTTCATTTACGTGATAATCAAATTGAATCTATCGATAATAATTCATTTCATAATTCACGTTTACAGCTATTAGATTTAAGAAACAATAGTTTAAAAACATTTCCTCTACTAACAAAAATCAATGAAACCTTACAAACTCTATTTCTTCGACGTAATCTAATATGTACAATAGATCAATACTTTTTAAATTTCTATCAAAATCTTCAAACGCTCGAACTTGATCAAAATCCGTTACATTGTGATTGTCGAATGAAAAAAGACTTTAAACAAATGAAAGTAACTGGCCAATGCCAATCACCACCAGAGCGGCAAAATGTTAATTTAAATGAATTACCAAATGAACAGTTTACCTGTAGTATGTTGACGACACCCCAGTGTTCATATCTCACAAAAGCAACACTTGATAATGAAAAAGATATAACAACTAAAATAATAACAACGACCAAAACGACAACAAGAACAGCTACGATGGCAACTACAATAAAAACTACTGCAATGAATATGTAAGTGTGAAAAGCCCTACTAAACTAGTTTAAATTATTTATCTTCTTTAACTAAATGATTTTTTTGATTGCTATAAAATATTGTTGTAATAGTTTTTTTTGTTGGAAGTAGCTGAGACAAAAATAATGCCATATACAACTTTCTCTTATTGAAACGGTTCCACTAATTTTGATCTGAACTGGACCAGATAGGAATATTTTTCATTGTATTTGTTTTGTAAAGAGATGAAAAATTCATTTATTCCGTTTGTTGAAAATAAAATTGAACATCTGTATGTTAAACAAAAAATTTCTTTATATAAATCTTAAAATACTGAAACCCCATTAGATTAGAATTCGGACAATATCTTGGGTGCACCAGTGGCAGTATTGACAATAGTTGGACTAGATTTGTGATATAGAAAAAAAGCTATTCTCAGTAGAAAGAGTGTTTTCATATCTTTCTTATTAAACAAAAATATGCAACACATGGAAGTGATTAATGAAGTAAAATAGGATCTTCAGATTCTCAAAGAAATACACGGCGTGAAAGATAATATTCGCGAAAATTTTTTATTTAAGAAAATATTTTAAAAATTCATCTATATTAAACTAGTGTTTTTAGAGTTGAAAATTTTGTCAACAATATCGATGAACGACAAAACTCTTTCACAACTACGTCAATTGACAATATGTCATTCGAATCTATTCGAATAGCAGACTTAATGATAACGCCAAATATAGATAAAAATCAATTATTAATTCAATGGCAAATAATTCCATCGATAATCGATGAAAATTTTAATGACGACTATCGTCGAACATATTTAAAACATCATGATATAAGTGGTTTTAAAATAAGTTCAAATTCTCCGATATATAAAATGAGCGAATTACTTGATATTTTGCAACGAAATTATACATTGGAGTATATACAACATGGTGAAATATGTCTTTATCTTCTTCGTAAAATGAATTATGAAAAAGTTTGTAAACAATTACAATTTACATCTACACAAACATTGAAATCGTCATTTATTATCGATCCAAATGAAAAACAACAGCACCAATTTTGGTATACAAATGAACCAACAAAAAGTATTCTTATTGGATCATTGTTTGGTATTCTCTTTGTACTTATTCTTCTGATATTTATTATTTTAATAATGTCTCGTTGTCCACATTTACTATTTTGCCATTTACGTTCATCAAGATATCATCAGAATAATGATTCAAAAAGCGAATCACTTCTTGTTCGTCCTACACCTACAAATACAATTCCATGGCCAATGCAATCGCAACAACATTTCTATCTTCATCAAAATCATCATCATCAATTAAGGCCTGCTAGTTATCAAGCAAGTGTATCTACTCAATCACAGTGTACATGCCCAACACATTATCATAGTAGTGGTTCATCGTCGACCGGTGCTAGTTCAACGTGTGCTCATGGACAAAACTATCATATTTATCAAGAAATAATAAACGATGATTTGAATGCAACAAATACATCGAATAACTATCGAACATGCCGTTCTATAAAAATAAATTCGAATTCACCGTTAACATCACTATCAACAAATACACAAATGAACTCTGAACAGTGTCAACTATGTTCACTTAGTGTACTTGTGTGAATTTTTGTTTTTGTACGTTTTCCTTTTGCGGTTTTTCATATTATAATAAAAGCATTCAGATTGAAATTGAAATTTTAAATTATTTGTTGTCATACGATATTACATAGTGAAAAGAAATCATATAAATACAGATACATGATTTATCCTTTATCTTTGTCATCATCAACAGCACCTATATTTGAATACTATTCTTACAAATTAATTAGGTTTATCAATCTGTAACCTATAGAAAGTTTTATATAGTATTTCATTCTTTGTCTAGAAAAAAACAGCATGTGTAATTAATTTAATGAATTACAACAGTATATATATACGACCAATCTTCATAGATCTCCGTTGTTGGCAGTTTTTTGCCAGTGTAAAGATCATTTAAAATTTGCAGGGATTCTTTGTACTGTCATATTTTTTTAATAAGTTAAGAAACAGGCAATTGCTTGCAAGTTATATTATAAAAAAAAACATTCACAAAAATCATAATGAATGAATTTAAGCAAGCCAAGATTCAAAACATTTAATTCAAAACTGAAATATAATTTTTCTTCGTACGTTGATAAATTTGAGAGGCATTCATTTTAGCCAGAGCTTTAATCGAAAAGCATCTACGCCATTTAAATAATAATGATATAAACGTTTTTCACGTAAAAAACCTAAATTTTCATAGAGATTTAAAGCTGAATCATTACTGACTTCAGCTTCAAGTACAATTTCATCACAGCCACGTTTAATCATCTCTCGTATACTCCTAAGAACAAGTTTCGATGCAATTTTTTGTCGTCGATAGTCTTTTTTAATTGCTAACATTGCTATATAACCACGACGTAAAGTATTTTTATGTAAATCTAATTTTGATACAATGGCACCAATTAAATCATTGGTTTGACGATCTGAACATAAGATACATAAATCAGGCCAATTATGAATAAAATAACGATATGTATATATTGAATATGGTTCAGATAATGTACTACTGATTAAAGATATTATAGATGACATTTCCTTTTCCGATTGATACGAGTGAAAATATATATTTGAGTCCAATGAATTATCAATTAATAAAATATCAAGTTTTGCTATTAATTCATCATCATCGGTTAACTTTGTTGAAGATTCATTATCATTATTATTTTCACATGGATAAATATGTTTACTAGTTTCTTCATGAATATGATTTATTATGGATGTATTATTAAATTGTTCAGTTTGATGATCAGAAACATTATTGGTAATAATAGATTCCATATTTTTAATAATTTTGTAAAGAAAACTAATAAATAAATAAATGATATTATAAAATATTATGTATGTATTATTATTATGTTGTCTAATGGATGAACAACAGACCATCCAGCTGCTATGAGACTTGAAACATCTAGTGACATCTAAATCTTTGTTTTTGACTAGAGGTTATTGATAGAGAAACAACTTTCAGCATGATAAAGAAAAATCATCTGCACCATAAACATATCAAATTAACGTAAAAATGTCTCGTTCACAACAAAAATCTCAAGATGAAAATCGACATATTCGTTCACCATTAAAAAAGACTAGTCAGGAATCAGTAGCTACACGTCCACTATCACAAGTTCCTTATCTTAACGGAGTATTCGATGATGAAGAAGCCATTAATCAGCCACAAGTAATTTATGTTCGAGAAACTGACTCAGATTATATACGTCGATGTAAATTAGGTGGTAGTCGAGATTTACTCGTGTATATTGATCCAGCATCATGTAAAAGTAAAGAACCTGTAGCATATGCTAGACCACTGTGGTGGGATGCCATGTGTGAAGATTTTCCTTCACCACCAAATGGTGAGAATGAACAGCAGCAAGAAAAGAGATCATCAAAAAGTGAACATGAATTTAGTGCTTCTAGTCGGGTTGTTCATACTGCACAAAGCAGTTCTCCGGATAGACGACGAAGCACAACTTCGAGACAATCGCAATTGTCAAAAAATGGCAAAAAGAAATAATTCATCAAACATTTCTACAAAAACACTATCTTTTATTTACTATTTTTTTTAGAAAAGTTGGTTTTAATTCAATAAAATAGTAGAGAAGTTGTCGGTAATATTTTAGAAAAATTGCATAAATATAAGAAAAATCTACTATTCATACTTATATGTTTATCGTACAATTCTATTCAATAACCAACATAGGTCGAATTAAATCTTTAAAATCTTGACGAAAGAATTAGTTTAGTAGCATCTATGATGGCAAGATATTTTCTCTAAATTACTTAGCCTAATATTTATCGATGAATGTGAATTTGAAAAAAAATTCAAATATAATTTTATAATATTTTCAATCAGAAATCTGTGATTCTTAAAGAAGAAACCTGTAGCTTAAAATAAATGATCAAGATTAAAAAACACAGCATTGATGATAGAATATAATCTGTTGTAGAATTTAAATGAAGATAATTTATTATTGATTTATAAATAAGGAAAAGAGAATTAAATATTTTTAGTTAACTAAAAAAATAGTCTCATAGAAATATTCTGTGTTTATTTAGACGAAAGTTATTTAGTTCATATTTTCAAAAGTCAAATAACATCAGTTGTCATTCATATTACGAAATGTAAAGGACCAAGCAGTTCAATCAAAGATATAAATTTATTTATATATACACAAGTCTTTACTATGTTCAACCATGTAAAATATTTAAATTTCAGTCGACTTACTTCTTCTCCTTATCATCGATTAACATTTGGTATATCACATCCAAATATACTATCTACAACTCTTACAAAGATTGTTTCTATTTACTTGACGGTTGTTTCAAGCAACTTATTACGTTCTATGTTATCATTTGTTCGTCTGATGTTCCTGAGTTGTCTATGATCAAAAATAAAGTAAGTGATCCATATTAATACCTTGTGGGTGAATTAATGAATCATAATTAGAGTCATTAACTGCCATTTGTTTTGTAGAGAAAACTTTCCAATTTAAAATGCTTTATGCTAACTCATGAATCGGAGTTATTGATCTACAATAATTTTCTTATCCCGCTTTTACATCGAATGTCAAATTTACAAGAACTCAGTTTGTATTTTGTCAATCATATTGCGCCAATTATTGATGGTAATAATTTGGAAAAGAATATTTTCAATCATATGACTAAATTAAAATTAGAAGTATCTCTTTGGATTTAAAATACTATTTTCCTCATACAGAAAAATGTTGATTATTGTTATTTGTTACTCACATAACCTTTCAAAAAATGAGCGAAACAATTTTATTTTATTTCATATTTTATAGGAAAACTGTACAGTTATTACATGTATCAAAAAGATTAGATATGAGTTATGAGAGAAAGAAAAAGGTTACTTTGAAAGATAAAAAATACTTTGCCTGTAATTATAGTCGTCGATTTAATTAAGTGTTATTATAAGTTATATAAAGTAATACGTAAATCCACTTGCTTTTACATATTCGTGTTGCCTTAACCCAAATGAACTCAAAAACTCTAATTCAGAGCCGATGTTATTCGGTTCGTTAGTTTTTAAAAATCTATTCTAACTTGATTAGATTCAATTCCAGCCTATTCTGACCTGAGAAGAAGCCATAGGTCCACAAGAAATTTATTTTATCCCGTTTTACTTTTCTATATATAAGTTACAAACCCACACCCTTCTTTTAGTCCCTTTACTCATTTCACTCTCTTTTAAGGGGGATGTATGTTCGAAAGATAGCAGATTTCGTCAGATGTAAACACTGTGATGTGAACAAGCGAAATCGTCGTTAAATCATTGCTTGACTATCCTATATTACGTTTCCAGGGAAAGTTGTAAATTTTATTTTCTATCTTTATTTCATCATTTTAATTGTGAACGTTTTAATTCTATTCCTGAGTCAACCATTTGAACTTGAAAAGTGATGATCATAAACTATGATTTCTTGTTTCATTATCAGAAGTTATTTGTCTTTAGAACTACGGTCACAGAAGTAAAGGGAGTTCAATATATATATATAGTTTAGTAAAACGGGATAAAATAAATTTCTCGTGGACCCCTCTCTTATGAAGTTTGGCTTTTCGAGGTGTACCAGTAAGATTTTCTTATCGGATACGTAATTAAATGTGCTCTTTCCAATGAAAGAGTTTTCAACTTAAAATTCCAAGCAATATAAAACGTTTTCGCTCCAATACTAGTGTTGGAATCTAATTTATGTCATTGTTTGGCTGATACTTGATAGATTCCAACAAATTAATTCTCATTTTGACTGAGTATAAATATTATATTTGTTTTAAGCACAAAATCTAATTCGGTTTAATTATTTTTACAACTTTTGTTTTCGGTCAGATTTAGGATTATATGAAAACAAAATATTTTATTCAAAACAACTATTTGATTGATTATTAATTGATCTACTTTATCTCAAACATCACTCCTTTTGGAGTAAGTTATATATTTTCGTTATCCATGGCGGGGACCAGGGGTGAAAATCTGACCGAAAACAAAAGTTTTAGAATTAAATCTAATTAGATTTTGCGCTTAAAAAAATATAATATTTAAATTCAGTCAAGTGGGAATTAATCTATTTGAAACTTCATAAAATTGAGAATAGCATTATTTCTAGCAGCATGACGCAATCGAGGCGGTATTTGGAATTTATTGAGAGAAAAAAGATTGAATATCTAAGTCGTTCCTATATATTTTGATAGAAAAACACATTGTGTATCGAACAGACTTATTTTCAAACAGAATAAATCGAATATTCATGGACCTTTGGGTCAATAGCTGTTTTTTAAGGCTCCAAGGGAGTGCTTCGGATCTTTCTTAGTATCCAATGAATTTTAAAATTTTAAATGATATTTGTGATCAGGGAACTTAACTTTATTGAAATATAACTACTTGTACTAAAATTTGAACAAAATGTTTTTTCGATCCTTGAGGGGTGCCCCAGATATTAAAAATTGAGTTTTTATAAAATACACAATAAACTCGTGGAAAATAATTCAAATTCAATGATGATTCTCAAGCTAATAAAGTTAGGTGCAGATTTTCTGTGAAGTCAGGTTCCTAATTTGGCACACCCCTTTTTTGATCGTGCAGTTAGTGTATTCACCAAGATCGAGGGAGAACAATCAGTTTAACAGAAAATGTTGTCGTCCTGTCGTATACCACTCCTTTATTTTACTGTTTCTTTTCCACAACTAGTAACATCTTTGACATGTTTCAGCATCTCTAGCACCTGGCCAGCACCTTCAGCACTTTATAGTAAAATTTGATGCTTGGAGCCAGCACTTTCCCCCTTGGTATTTGTATTTGGAAGAATACTTCGTACAGTGAATTTGCAATAATCCATTACGTCTAACTAAATTGAAATAAACATAATAATTTTTGCAACAGTCAAATAATCTATTATGACGGCTTGGCTTCCGATTTCTCAATTGAGATTTTCAAGTGAAATCTAGCTATACGGTTAACTAATTATTTTATATATATATGCGTTCATGAATAATGTAAATCCGAAAACATTATGTTTAAAATAGTATTTTTTAATTTTTTATTATATCTATTTCTTATTTATTTAATTATTTTTTGTTTTGTAACGTTCGATGGATGGTAGACTCGATTACTCGTGCTTATTTCATTGACAAGTGTTAGTTGATACGAACTGAATCTGGTACGAAGATTACGCATGTACTATGTATCACGTATCCTTGTTCTGTCGAATTATTCACAAATTTCAGAATTATTTGCAATTGTTTGATCTCAATTCATATTTGTCTTAAAGCAATAGTCTGATGGAACTGCTGCTACGAAAACAAATCTATAATGTTGTTCAATGCTATTGTTCTAAGCTAACGCAAATAGAATTTTTTCCAGTAAACGACATATGTTCCGATAAGAAATATCAACTTTTGTTCAATCTTCTGAACATAGCTAGTTTCAAAATAAACTATCTCGAAAAACTTACAAAAAAATCCTTCATGCTTATTTAGATGAAAGGTTTTTACTTCGTATTGTCAAAATTGAATTTTTATCATTTACTATTTGATTCCTTTTTTTCTATCAACAATAATGAATGGTAAAGGTATCCTTTTAGTGTTTTCAGAAATAAACTTGCTAATTTGAAATAGTTTTCATTAACTCATAAATATATGCTCATTTATTTGTTTTTGCATAATCAAAGTAGTTTATCATCAAACAACGATATTCCGTATATAATTTTCGTTATTTTCTAGTGAAAAATGTATGTCACTGTTTTTAACGAGATGCAATGACACGGATGTTACTATCAGTAGTCTATTTTTACTCAATAAACCAAGATTATTGAAATAGGTTTGTGCAACATAAGCAATCTCATTATAGATTTGAAAAAGTAAATACAAAAGATCAATGTAAATGAAAAACGTTCATTCAGAATAAAATAATCTAATCTAAGCTATATCGACTACCATGTTATTTTTCATTTCTTTAAAAACACATTTCAGAATTTACCAGGTTATTTTTTTTATTAAATAACTATTCATTGTTTAGATTCAACTTTTGCAAAATTAATATCTAAGGAGAAGAGATATTTTCAAACTAAGAATATATACATCTATCTCTATGCAGTTTGTATGAATTTATCTGATTATTCTTCAGTTATTTTGAGAAAAGTTCTAATCGAATAAAACCACAAAGCTGATGTTTATCTGGTTACTCATCATCATCATCAACAAAAAGTAGCATACATTTGTTGACATCGAAACCTCATGAAATAGCTTATGCTACACGATGAGAAACAAACAAACGATAGGTGCTGAGAGTTCTTGGCATTTTGAAATGAGAAGTTTTGCTCTTGTATCAGATCGATCTTTCCATCAATCCGCTATTTTTCGTCATTGCAACATGTATCCGATCATGAGAGATTCGTTACCGCTTAGTAAATGGCATTTTACGAAATCTTTTTTTTGAATTATAAATCTAGGATTAATTTAAAGCAATAGAGAAGAGTTTGAACTATTGATCACAAATAAATC